TGTGAATGAACGTCTGAACGTGGCGGCGTGGTTTGCTCAATAGACGAAAGCTGCCCACCACACCGCGCTCGCTCCAACGTGCATCGCACGACACGCCCTTCCGCCGTATACAGACACCGGTTTCCAGGTGCTCATACCGCTATGGCGCCTCGCAAGTCCGCCGTTGCTCGGGAGGCTGCGCCGGAAAGTGATGGCCTGACGACAGCAACATCAACATCAACAACTACAACCACAACTACGTCTACGTCTGCGTCAACATTGCCCTCAGCACCTTTTGACGGCACTGCCACGCCTTTGTCGCCGACAGGCCCCGCAGAAAAGAAGCAGCCTCCGCCAGAGAAGCCGAGCGACATTCGGAGGCGAGGTGCCGTGATCCTTTCCTTCTGGCTCATCGTGGCACTGCTTGGGCTACCAATATGGTGGTACACGACGACGATCTACCGGGCGAACCTGCCGCTCGACGACATGATGGAATGGGCCGACGGAAAGGTAGGACGCTGACTGTGCCAGCCCGTGGCTGTTCCTCCAAGACGACAAATTGCTGACAATTTTCGAATCCAGGCGTGCCGTCCCGTCTTCCCCCTTCGCATCTCGATCCAAGCCAGCTCCCTCCAAGAGGCCGAAGCGAACCATTTGCTGCGCCTGACGCAGCACGCGCTCGACGACCTCAACGACTTTTCGGGCCACCACCTGCGTCTGGAGCTGTCGCCGAACAGCCAGACGAGCGAGGGCGATGCCGACAGCAGCAGCTTGAGCAGCATCGGTAGTAGCACCAGCAGCGTCAGCAGCAGCGCTGGCAGCGCTGGCAGCAGTAACGGCAATGGTGGTAGTGCAGTCACAGTGTCGTCATCATGGTCGGCCAGCGGCGGCAACAGCAACGGCAGCGGCAGCGGCAGCTGCACGCCGCACGAGGGCGACGTGGCCCTGACGATCCGGCTGACGCCGGGCGACGCGTCGACGGCGTCCCTGCACCCGTCGCAGGCGATCCTCGACGTGACGTACCCGCCCAACTCGATCCCGTCGCTGAGCTCGTCGACGTCGGCGCTGGCCACGTTTGTGGCGACGCAGCTGCGGTCGACGTTTGCCGAGGAGCAGGCCGTGATTTCGTACCTGTTGTCGACGTCGTCGTCGTCGTCATCGTCGTCGTCGTCGTCGGCATCGCCGGCCGAGCTGCAGCGGCCGCCGCGCAGCCTGGCGCCAGAGGTGGCGGAGGCGCTGTCGCGGCGCACGATGCGGTCGCTCAAGTACGCGCCGACGTACCACCTGACGTTTTCGCTGTTTGCGGGTGGGGCGGCGCCGAGCAGCTGGGACATTGAGGCGGCGATTCGCGAGTACATGCAGCCGATCCTGGACGTGCTGCGGCCGATCCACAACTTCACCATAGACACGCAGGTGCAGCTGTACGCGGCGCCCGGTGTGCAGTCGCCGGTGCTGAGCAAGCAAGACCTGTCGTCGTTTATCAACGCGGCCGAGTGGCCGCTGTCGCCGTCGATTGGCGGCGCGCCGACGATCAACTTTATTGTGTTTGCAGGCAACCAGACGATCAACACGGCGGCGCCCGCCGAGACGCACCACCAAGACGGCGAAACGGACGACAGCGAGGCTGCCGCTGCCGCGGCTGATTCTGCTGCCACCGCAGGGACGACATCGCAGTCGTGGCTGATCCCGCAGTGGGGCGCTGTCTATCTGTTACCGGCCGGGCAGGACGGCAGCGCACACGTCTCCCGGGACGACCTGCGCGAGCCGACGCTCATGTTCACGTCGCACCTGCTGTCGCTTCTCGGCACGCCGCAGTCGGGCAGCCTGCCGCTGCGGCTGTCGACGCTGAGCCGCATCCGGTCGGCCGACCTGCTGCTGCGCGCGTCGTCGACGCTCGGCAGCCTGGCGCGCCTGTCGCTGGCGCTGCGCAACATTGCCATCCCGTCGAGCGTGGCCGAGGGCGTGGAGAGCACCATGTGGCACCTGCAGCAGGCGTGCAACGCGCTGGGCGGGCCGGAGGGCCTGGCGCACGCGCGCATTGCCGAGGCCGAGGCGGAGAAGGCGTTTTTCGAAAAGAGCATGGTGGGCCAGCTGTACTTCCCCGACGAGCACAAGGTGGCCGTCTACCTGCCGCTGCTGGGCCCCGTGGGCGTGCCGCTGGTGATGGGCCTGCTGAACGAGCTGCGCGCATGGCTGCGACGGCGCAAGGAACGGGCCGCGGCGGCCGAGAGCGAGAAAAAGAAGCAGTAGGGGCCGGCGTGCGAGGCGTGCCCCTCAACAACGATGCTTTTTATTACATGATACAAATGATGTTGGCGATTGTTCTATCTTGAATTTTTGTGTTTTTTGTCCGTTTTTCTGGCATTTAAATCATGTTCTTTCCTTTGTCGTATCCTAACATGTCCCATTTAGCGACTATTCGGCACCCGCCGTAAAATTAATTTCATTGATATTTGATCTTGGTCTTCTGGATGTCCGATCTCCGAGCGATTTCGACAGCCCGTCATATCCATCCCATCGTCTCAACATGATTCAGTCTTTGTTCAAGCGCACAACTCTGAACGATCAAGTGCGCTACCTTATCAGTGGTGGACTTATTCCGCGCCGCTATTCGGAACAATTGTGTCGTCCAAGCTAGGATCCAGGACCCGCAGTATGGCGCAATGCAAGTGCCGCGATTATTAGAGGTCTCGGGAGAACGTTGTACTTTGTACGGAGGAAGTGGGGATGGTTTGCTGGGGTAATCTGGACGCAAGCCGGACATGGATAAAGATAGGATGCTGGGGCTCACATCCGCGCAGAGCCTACGACGATCCGAGACCACGATCGTCGAGATTGGCGATCTGTGTACACAGTAGGAGGCTCAAAGACCGGCTATATGAGAGGGGTTTGAGCAAAAGTCCGGCACATGTACACGGCAGGTCTCCCGCCTACAAGAGTTTGTTACGAATTTCTCCAATTCGCCAAGCTCTTAAAGTCACGCTGTATTGCGCGAGTTTGACTCGAGCTTTGCATTCCACGACAAAACTACTCAACATGGCATCCGAACAAACAGCTACCAGGGTCGCCAAGGCCGACACTGCTGCCACCGACGAGCCGCTCGACCCTGCCAAGCACATTGAGGCACATATTCTGCCCCGGCTCGACAAGGATGTGGTCGACTACTACCTCCACGAGATTGTCGCGAAGGCGTCGACGCGGCCAGTCAGCATAGAGTACATCCGGTCGCACCCGGAGGAGTTCCGCAACCTGATTGCGATTGACACGGGCGACGGGTCGTTCCCGCGCGTCACGGACTACACATTGACGTCGGAAAAGGACGGCGCCACGTTCCCTGTGCGCGTGTACCACCCCGACCCGGCGGACCACGGCCCCGGGCCCTACCCGGTGCACCTCAATTTCCACGGCGGTGGGTTTGTGCTGGGAGACCTGCACACGGAGGCGCAGCTGTGTCTGAGCATGCGGGAGGCGGGCGTGGTGGTGGTGGACGTCAACTACCGGCACTGCCCGGAGACGCTCTTTGGCAAGGCCTTTGAAGACGCCTGGGCGGCGTTGCTGTGGGTGCGTTTTCCTCGTTCCCCCCTGCCTTTGTGGCCATTTACGTTATTACGCTCTTCTTCTGACCGTTCCCACCCACTCCTTGCATGACAGACCCGCGCATCGGCTTCGCTGCTCAACATCGATCCCGACTCGGTTTCGCTGGGCGGCATCTCAGCGGGCGCGCACATTTCCATTGTGATGCAGCTGCGGGCGCGCGACGCGGGCGTGCCGCTGCAGCTCGTGATGGCGACGGTGCCGGCGACGGCCGGCTGCCTCTTTTACCAGTTCTACACCGACGCCCGGCACGCGTCCTTCCACGAGTTTCACCGGTCGCCCATTCTGCCGTGGGCGCGCGTCCAGTACTTTGCCGACATGTGCCTCGAATCGGTGCCGGACGACGTGGCGGGCATTGCAGTGTCTGCAGACAAGGAGGACAAGAAGGACAAGGGCGCGATCCGCCAGAAGCGGAAAGACGCCATCTTCCGACTCTGGCCGCGGGCGTGGCTCGCCCCGCTGGACGCGACCCGCGCGCAGCTGCAGGGCTTGGCGCCCGCGTACATCCGCACGGGCGAATTGGACAGCCTGCGCGACGAGGGCGAGGCGTTTGGGCAGGCCGTGGTGGCGGCCGGCGGGCAGGTGACGTTCAAGCGATACCCCGGCGGCGTGCACACGTTCATGTACCTCGACTTCAACCGGCAGAAGCGGGCGTACGACATTGACTCGGTGGTGGCGCTGCGGCAGGCGCACGGGTTTGCGGCACTGCCGCCGGCCGAGGTGGAGGCGCGCGTGGACCGTGCGGCCGCGGCCACGAAAGCGAAGCGGGCAGTGGAAAAGGAGGCTCTGGCGAAGAAGAAGGCGGCGGCGGCGGCGGCGGCCGATGGTACGGTCGGCGACAATGCCTACGCGTAGGGCAGTCGAACTGGGCAGATGAGCATGAATACGTCACATTCTGAATGAAGCCAGCTGCCAGTGATTTATATAAATTAAATATTTTGAATCTCAAAGGGCGCAAGAGATGAATGCGAATCAATAGTGACCGAGGACGGTTGAGCTCTCTCGCGACAAGCCACTCTCCTATATAAGTTTGGCAACTAGCGCATTCTGCCATCCGAGTCGGCTCCATGGTCTAGTGGTACGATTCGTGCTTTGGGCTACTACGCAAGCAACTGCACGAGGTCCCGGGTTCGATCCCCGGTGGAGCCCTCCTTTTTGTGGGTTTTTTTTTTTGCCGCTTTTTTTCTTTTTTTTGTCATCTTTGTGTACTTTCCTTTACTTACTTACATTCACCAGTTAAGGTTATATTTTACCCTTTAGTTTACCTTTTAGGTTTTTCTTTATTTTGTTTCCGTCGTTCGTCGTCAAGAACGTGACGTCTGAAATTGAAATTCATATTTTGAATAAATAAAAGACAAGTCCTAAATGCAAATATGTCGTACCGTAAACGCCTTCCTCATAACAGTTCAGTCATAATCATAATGGTATCAATTCCTTTCCCTCGCCTTGCTACCCCACGTCGTTCTCCTCACATCAAGAGACGGGCAAAAACAACGGCCAGCAAGCTCACACCCAGGACAACCGTCACTGCACTCGTCGGTTGTTGCGTCGCAGCCGACGACGACCCGCTCACAAACTCGCCACCCGTCGGCGTCTCCTGACTGGATGTCGTCGTCGTTGTTGCGGGTGATGTTGTTGCAGCGACAGAGGTGGATGGTGGTGTGGCAGAACAGCCGGCGACTGTGCATTGGCAAAGGCCCGTGGTGGCTGCGAGGATGGTTGTGAAGGCGCCGGCGGTGCTCTCGCTCGTGCGGTCGCTTGTGTCGCTTGTGTCGCTTGTGTCGCTTGTGTCGCTTGTGTCGCTTGTGTCGCTTGTGTCGCTTGTGTCGCTTGTGTCGCTTGTGCTGCGACGCGAGCCGACCACCTCCCATCTCGTACGACAGCCCCGCCGGCGTGCACACCGTCCCCGGCGCCAGGGCCATAGAGTCGGACCACTGGCCCGAGGCGCATCGCTGCCAGCAGGTGGTGAGGCAGTTCCACTCGCCTTCGGCGGTGCAGACCGAGCCGGGCGCGCCGGGGGCGGTGCTGTTAGCACCGACACTGCGGACGGCGGCGAGCGGGTGGAGCGTATGGAGCGTGTGGAGTGTGTGGAGCGAAGAAAGTGGGCGGCGCATCTTCAAATCGTCGCCAAAGGCAATGTGCGACGGATCCGACTGCGCTGTGACCGGCACGGCCTGCAAGAGGCACAGCAGGCCGAGAGCATACCGCCAGAGGGCCATGATGAGGCGACTGTGCTGCGTTCTGCCTCTATTTTTGCGTGAATTTTGTTGTCAATAAAAAGAGTGTCAAAGTGAGTGTTTCCTTCGAACGGCGTGACAATGAGAGCTCACTGTTTTACTGTTTATGGTCATGCGCCGGCGACGGGGATGCGGAGTAAGTCACCAGCACCGTCTTTTGCTTAGTGGGGTGTAAGTGGCGGCGAGTTGATTGGTGGAGAGGGGGGGGGGTGGTTTGGCGGTGAGAGGTTAGGCACAACACGAGAAGACTCAAGAGAGGGGATAGACAAAAAGAGACAGAAAGAAAAAGAGACGATGAGGGAGTCAAGATCGAGGAGAGACGAGAAGGAGAAAAGAGAAGGATAGTTTTATTGCGCTCTCGTCATGACGAGAGGAGAGGGTAATTTGTTTGCTTCCTTGGCGGCAGCGCTTACAGCACCGACGGCCGCTATTGTGCACTGTAGACGAATGGGCCACAGGCCGGCAACCACTGACACACAGGCCTCGCCATGCTGTGTGTGTGCTTGTGCCAGTACCAACAGGCCTTTCAAGTAACACAATCTCCTCTGTCTTTATTCACGGTTTCTATTCAGTTCCCATCTTCCACGTCGCTCGTCCTCTTCCACGTCGCTCTTTTCCTTCAATAGACGCTGTCGCTCTCTCCGTGCTGTCTCAGCTTCGTTGGACATGGCCGGGGTGGTCGTGGATTGTATTGATTGGGCGTCATTGTTCGAACTGAGAAAATCCGTTTTCAGTAATAATCTTTTAGTCATACTGTAACACCGTTTGACACCCAACCCTGTCCCAACCGTCAAACGGTCCAAATGACGCGCGCGTAACGTAAATAGATGGAACTGGCCTACAGCGTTGGGCCAGCATCAACCCAATTTGCTCCGCGGAGTAATTAATGGTTTCGGAACATCTCTTGCTTGCCCCGGAATTACCCCACAACACGCCATTGGCCTGCCTGGCCACTCTTGTCATCGCAAGTCGTCCGAAGGTTACTTACTCCGTACTTTCGATATCCACTGAACTCGAGGTAGGGAAGGCAGCCCCAACGAGGATTTGCGGAGTAATTAGTTCTGCTGTTCTAGCTGAGGGTGTGAATCTGTATGTCAACGAGTCTAACCCCCTCTTCTCTTCTAGTGGACATCACTAGACCGAGGCAGCCCGTGACTTCACTGGACACTTAAAAGCTTCCACGTTCGCACACTCTCTGCGTTACCACTCCATGGTCCACAACCTGAATCGTAACTGAACGACACAAGTCTACGTCTTCACGGCCTCACGTCTTCACGGCTACACGTCTTCACGGCTTCACGGCTTCACGGCTTCACGGCTTCACGTCTTCACGTCTTCACGTCTTCACGTCTTTACGTCCATTCGTCACGACTGCACGTCTGCACGTCTGCACGTCTTCACCTCTCACGTTCACCATGTTTGATACGGTCGTCTACAACGTGTCCACCCTCTGGGCCCGGACTCTCGCCACCTACGGCGCGCGCCGCGTCGAGCTTGTCGGCCTGGTGGTTGTCCAGTTCCTGTCGTTCTGGGTCACGTCTGCCATCTACACGGCCCTCCCGTGGCTCGCGCCCGCCTTCTCCGAGCGCCACAAGATCCAGCCCGCGCCCAAGCAGCCGACCGCCGCCGACATTCGGCACTGCGCCTACGTCGTCCTGCAGAACAATGTCTTCTCCTTTGCCCTCAGCGCCGGCCTCTCCCTGCTGGCGGGCGACCCCGCCGACCACGCCAGCAAGCTCCTGGGCCTGCGCATCGAGGCCCCGCTGCCGTCGCTCGCCGAGTTTGCGCGCGACATGCTCGTGTCCACCGTCCTGCGCGAGATCCTCTTCTACTACGCCCACCGCCTGCTGCACCAGCCGCGCTTCTACCGCGCCATCCACAAGCAGCACCACAAGTTCATCGCGCCCGTCGCCCTCGCCGCCCAGTACGCCCACCCCGCCGAGCACCTCGTCGCCAACATGCTGCCCATCGGCCTGCCCCCGCTCCTCCTGCACGCGCACGTCCTCACCTACTGGGCCTTTGTCGCCTTCATGCTGGTCGAGACCGCCACCGTCCACAGCGGCTACGACTTCTTTGACGGCGCCGCCAAGATGCACGACGCCCACCACGAAAAGTTCAATCTCAACTACGGCTCCCTCGGCGTCATGGACTGGCTGCATGGCACCGACGGTCTGAAGAAGGCCAAGAAGGGGGAGTAGCTATCGGGGAGGAGAGAGGGGGGGGGGCAATACAAATCAAAAGAGAGAAAGGTAGTGGGTTTTCCACGACTGGATACACGAACGGCACGAATGGCGTTTTTGATTGGATGCATTGATATATTGGATGCCGATTAAATGATCGACCGACATCTGGTTATTGTATTTCTGTTGGTGTTTGTGTCTGCATTTATGTTTGTATTTATGTTGTATATAATCCCAGTAAAAAGACATTGAACCTCTACAATCTACACGGTTTTGTACTGCGATCTTCGTTGTGCGGTTTGGAGGTGCGTCTCCAGTCGCATAGTATGGGGTCGTGGCATTATTGGGCCGAAAAGTCGACGAAATTACGCCTAAAATGCGGCCACAGTAATTCGTAGACGGCCCTTTTCGACGCACATCCCATCTCACGCAACACCCTTTTCACCACACAACAATGGACCCTGCCGCCACCCTCACGCACGTCCGTGCCCACTGGGCCGGCATCCTGCCCAGCTCCCCCGTCTACAGCCTCTTCTTCGCCGGCATTCGCATCGTCGACGCCCGCCGTGAAGACGTCGGCAGCGACTCGTCGAGCGGCGGCCGCATCCTCGCCCACCTCCCCGTCGGCGGAATCCATGTTAACTCCAAGAACATCCTGCACGGCGCCGTGTCGGCCGCCCTCGTCGACTGGGCCGGCGGCATGGCCATTGCGGCGGCGACGGGGCGCAGCCAGACGGGCGTGAGCGTCGACATTCACATTAGCTATGTGGCGGCGGCGCGGGAGGGCGACGAGCTGGAGATTGAGGCGTGGGTGCAGCGTGTGGGCGGGACGCTGGCCTACACGTCGGTCGAGATTCGGCGTCGAAAGTTGCCGCCGTTGCCGTCCAACGGCGACGACAGCCACGACGGCGACGATCACCGCGCCGACGGCAGCCAAGACGGCGGCGATCACAAGAAGGTCGACCCCTACGCCGTCGCAAAGACACGAGGCCCTGTGGTCGCCCGGGGCAGCCACACCAAGTATGTCGCCTATGGAGAACCAAGGAAAGTCCCGCCGGCAGCAGAGACCAAGCCCGAGGCAGCAAAGGCAGTAGAGGCGGCAGAGACTGAGGAGCACCGATCAAGGAAAGGGACATAAGAAACGGCTGCGATGTTCGGCGCGCCCGATGAGTGGCGGCATTCCGGTTTGTAGACTCAATAGGCAATCCAAATATACGACAATGACATCTTCTACGAGAACATATTCAGCTTGCGTGGCTGAATGTTGGCGTTTCTTTTGATTTCGAGTTTGGAGTCGTATTGAATGTTCTGTTGGTAGACTTGCCTGCCCGACTCCGATGCTGACATAATACACCAACGGAACGCATCCAGGCACCACTGAACAGCATTAAAAAACAGGGCTCAGCACACCCGTAGTCAGGGCCACGCAACGCTGTCGCAGCCGAAACACCATCGAGCTCCGACCTGTACCTTTGCCTAATACAGATGCGGATAATCGCGTCCCGCAGATTCCGTCACGTCTGCCTTTCCTCTTCCGACGACTTTCCACTCCCCACGTCAACGTCCGGCTTTCATCGTTCCACCGACAATCGACAAATTGATCAATCTTTGACTGGCTATCCACGCCATCCTCTGACAACCACATCCACATCCACATCCACATCATGGACTACGTGGAGCAGCGCATGGCCCAAGAGGCTCAAAAGGCCGACGTCGCCTCTGCCGTGTAAGCATCGGACACTGATGAGGCGGCAGACTGGAAGCAGAACCGAGACGACAGAGCTAACAGACGCCCAGGGCCACCCTCGTCACCCCCCTCAACGCCCTCCTCGCCGCCATCGTCCTCTACACCCTCTACAGCATTCTCCGCCCGACGCAGCCGCCGTCGTTCCCCAAAGACCCGCCGGCCACCGTCTTCCGCACCTACACGCCCCATACCCTCCGGCCCTTTGACGGCCAGGACGGTCGCCCCGTGTTTTTGGCCGTCCGTGGCCGCGTCTTTGACGTCTCGTCTGGCCGCAACTTTTATGGCCCTGGCGGCCCCTACGAGAACTTTGCCGGCCGCGATGCGAGCCGCGGCCTGGCGTCGCACTCGTTTGACGAGTCCATGCTGACCAAGGACCTCGACGGGCCGCTAGACCCGCTGGACGACCTGACGGCCGAGCAGCTGGATGCCCTGCAGGGCTGGGAGGAGCGCTTTGACGGCAAGTACCTGGTCGTGGGCCGGCTGGTGTCGGTGGCCGACTTTGCGACGGAGAAGAAAGAGAACAAGTGAAGGGCGTAGGGGCGTTGGTAGACAGGAAACGAGGAGGATAAATGGGTTCTCTGGGACAAGCTTGACTGGCCAAATACGTTTTGCATTTAAATCTAGCGAAACCTTTAAGAAACATTCCTATGTAAGGGCTTTCCCAGCCAATGACACGTCTACATATCTACACCTACTCTCACCTACCTAGACCATGTACACCCGCAGCATGCCGTTGCACATGTCCACCGCAAACCGCAGTCCCGCCACCGCCACCGTCCGCTCCTGGACGTGCCGCAGCTCCGCAAACGGCTTCGCCTGGAACCGAACAGAGTCGGCCGGCGGCGTGGTCGAGGGTGTGTCCCAGAGCGTCGTGAGGGGCGTGACGGGAGACATGACGGCCACAGGGGCAAGCGACGTGGCCTTGGCAGCCAAAGACGATGACGACGATGACGACAATGACGATAATGATGGCAAGGACGGCAAGGACGGCAAGGACGGCAAAGGCGGCAACGACCGCAAAGACAGGGGCGGGTTGCACGTACCGTGTGCGCAAAACTGACGCTCCGTACAGGCCAGCGGCAGCGCCACAATTGGACACCACTGGCTGTCCAGTGCCTCCGCCGGCGTCGATGTCGCTGTCGACAGACACGTCGACCAGAACCGCGACCGGCCCAGCGTCGCCCGCTTGCCTTCGAGCAGCGTGTCCAGGGCCGCTTGAAAAGTCGACAGCGAAGCCGTCGCCCAGGCCGGGTCGAGCACATAGTCGGAGGAGGGTGTGGCTGTGGATTTGGCTTTGGGTGCTGGTCTCAGAGTGGTCACCTTGACCGTCTTGGCCGTCTTGGCCTTTTTGCTCACCGCTGTGGCCACGCTCTCGCCGTCGCTGTCCATGTCCTCGGCATATCGCTTGCCCTTGCCCTTGGCCGCACGGGCCGGCTGAACCCGCGTCGGAGGCGCCATCGAGGCCCAGCGCGGTGTTTTCTTTGGCTTGACCAAGTGTTCCGGTGGCTGCTCGTCTTGTTGTGTGCCCAGCTTTTCCTTCTGGTCCAGGAACCACGCCACTGACCGGTGCCAGAAATCCTTGTCACAGTAGACCGCTCCGCGGGCAATGCTGCATGCTGTCGACGATGGCTTGGGAGGCGGACCCATCGGGAAGCGTGAGTAGTTGACTGTTGAGATGACTGAATGCATCGTGGGTTAGTTTCTGTGTGAGGACAAAGTGTGAGGAAAAACAAAGTAAAGTAAAAAAGCAAAAATGAACCGTGATTATCAAAAGAGTGGAAGGCAACTCCAGGTTGCGTGAAAATAACAGTAATAGACGCCAAAAAGATGAAGAAACGATAAGAAATACGATTGTAGTACAACTGGCCGTGTTTATTTTCATGGGTATCGGCGTTCTTTTAAATGATGCCATGGCGAGCGGTTCGTTGATTCCGTGCACGAGATTTGATGTTCAAAGAACAGGCCCCTTCTGCTACAAAGGTCTTTTGTTTACGATGTCTTTGTGTCTTTTTGTCTTTCTGTTTTCTTTGGCCCTTGATTGTCCCTATCTGCTTTCACTGCCCTTTAGTTCTATATGGTCAGCCCTTGTCAAGTAAACAATAGCCCAGGCCCTGAAAGAAGAAAAAAATGAGTGCAATCGATGAACGAAGTCTATCCTGAGCACCGCCATAAATAATGAGAAATGAAAGCACAACGTCGTGAAATATTCACGGAGGTTAATGAACCGCTACCTTAGGAGTGCCATAAGCTATGAGAGAGAGAATGTCAGTTCTGCCACGCTTTGTGCACTCCTTCACACTTCAATTTTCTTTGTCCATGCGACCGGGCACCTTTTGTTTTGTAGCCCCTTTAACCCTTTGTTGTTGGCCCCTTCCCCTTGTAGTTTGCCTATCCCTTTGCAGTCATGACCTAAAAACACTGTTATCTTCGACTCGTGACACGCTCAGACGGATTTGGAAATTTGAAGCTGTGTCTGATCACGATATTTAAGCAGCTCTACGTCGCATTCTACGCATCCGCGTCAACCACGAAACCAGCAGTTTACCGTACGAATATTTTCAGAAGCACAATCTAGACATAAAGTAAAGACTTTCGCGCCATGAACGTTTCCAATCAACCCAAGTCATCGTCCAGGGTCGAGGTCTCGCTCGCGAAGAGAAGCCAGGTGAAGGAGACCCAAGTCTCCAAGATGGACAACAAAGACGCCAAAAAACAAAAGGACAAAAAGAAGAAGAAAGACAAGACGATGAAAGTGCACTTCAAGCCCCGGCTACCCCAATACAAGCCTCGACAAGAACTGCGCGCTCTTCTCGGCCAACGACTCCCTTTGCTGCCCCGAGACTGTTACGGTCCGCCGCCGACTGCGCCTGTTGGTCTTCGCCGCTCAGAGCGAATCAAGGCGAAGAGACTAGCGATGATTGCTGCTCTATTTGCCTTGCTCGATGTTGTGTGTAAGGGCGACCCGAAGTCCGTGCAAGGGTGAAGAAGATGCTGCCAAAGATAGAAAATAAGAGGATCAACAAGGTAGAACCAACACGGCACTTTCCGCGACTCGAAACACGTGCACTTGCTCTATTTCTGTGGTTGGGATGTAATGAGCGTGTTGCTGTCATCCTCCCTTGCATTCTACGGGAAGGAGCGATGGACGACGTAATTTGTGCTTGCTTCTGCTCAGCCGCATAAATACTGGCCACACAGGAACGGGGTCGCCCCTTCCGCATTTGTGAGTTACGCATTGCTTCCCCATTTGCACTTGCTTACCTTAATATATAACCGGAACACTCCATTCATCTTGGGAAGTTGCAGACTGGACGGACCTTCCATTCGAGTCAATCTCGTCAATCCCCCTTTTTCGACTCGAATGACTTGTGTCCCGCATCATCACCATTATCGCGACGACCACCTTCGCCACAATGTCTCTGCGGCGCCTCTGTCTTCTAACGGCTGCTTCCACAGTCGCCGGCCAGCAGACTGGCAACCACCCGGACTGGCCGCGATGGTGCGGCAAAGTGTATGAGTCGGGGTAAGTCCAGTCGTTTACCTTTTGCCTCATAAGAGTTCATAAAACTCCAGGTCGACTAACACCATCGCAGATATCCAAGCTTCAATCCTGGTGGCCAGACAGTCGAGCCGCCACGGAGTCCGGACGGGCCCTTCCTCTACGTCCAGGTGACACCACGGTACAGCCTCTACCTGGACAGCGAGGCCCAAGGTGAATTCGTTGTGCGGACCACGCTGTCACCGTACTTTGGTCTGGAGCTGCCGTCTGCACCGTCGTCCGATGGCACCGGCGTCGATGCGAACCGGTTCCTCAATTTCACCATCTCGCTCGATAGCCAAGAAGACAGCGACAGCGACACCACAGGCACCAACAACATCAAAGCCAGCAACGTCCTCGTGCGCGGCGCAGTCCGTTTCAACTTTAGCGGTGTTACCACGCATGACACAATCGTGCCCTTCAACCTGACGGCAGCCTCCGCGTCCCTGGGCGGTGGTCCACTCAACACGAGCTTCGCACCTCAAAATGTGACCCTCACGGGCTGGGTGGCCAGTCCGGACGGCAGCTCCAACGTAACCTACGTCGCCAAGAGCAGCAACCTTTTCTACCTGCCGGACAACGCTACGGGGAGCGTCAGTCGCCTCGACAATGCGTATGGCGGGTTCATGTTCCGTGGCGCCCGCGGACAAAGCACTAGTAACACCAGTGACAGTGCCGGGTTCCGTCCTTACTTTCCCTATGGGTACTACGCCTCCTACGACGGCTTCCTCGTGGGTGCCACCGACAATGCCTCGGCCGCAGCCACTATTGACCCCTATGCCGCCTTTGGCCTTAACGCCATGACGCCCTTGACGCAGTATCCCCAGTCTGCTGCTGCGTTTGCTTACATGGCCGACCACACCGGTCTCGGTATCCAGTTCGATCTCCGCGAAGGCTACACCAACCAGTCCTGGGTGGCCGAACAAGTCACGGCCGCCCGCGACAATGCCGCTCTCTTCTCGTACTGGAGCGCCGACGAGCCTGACGGGCACCAAGACCCATTCCAGGCCCCTGTGCAAGCCCGCGATAGCATCCGCCGTCTCGACCCCTACCACCCGGTGGCTGTGGTGCTCAACTGCCAGAATTACTACTTTGCCGAGTACGCTGCCGGCGCCGACGTGCTCATGGAGGACGTCTACCCCATTGGCATCAACACGACCGGCGTTAGCAAATGGGGCACCGTGTGCAACTCGACGCTGGGCGACTGTGGGTGTGACAACTGCCGGGGCGGCGACTACGGCATCCGCGACGTGGCCGACCGGCTGGACGACCTGGCACGGTACGAGGCGTGGAGCGGACCGCAACAGGGCTCACCGTGGCCCAAGACCAAGATCCACAACCCCCAGAGCTTCCACGGCGAGAGCTACTGGGCACGCGACCCGACGCCGGCCGAAGCGTGGGCCATGAGCCTTGTGGCGGTGAACCACGGCGCGCAGGGCTTGATTGCATGGGTGTACCCGGTGCAGGCCAACACAACGGCCGGCAGCAGCGACTTGCCTGCTGCCCACGGCACGCTGGCGCAGGTCCTTACGCGGTCGCCCGTTGTGGACTTTATCGTCGGCAACGCACGGCCGACGCGTCTCCCAACTGCCACCGACCACCCCAACGTGGATGTTGCTTGCTGGCGCCGCGGCGACCATTTTCTCGTGTCCGTGGTCAACGCCGGGTACGAAGACTACGGGGCGGCCCCGGCCAACAACAGCAGCACGCCGCCTCTTACTATCCCCATTCCTCCGACTTTGTGGCCCGCCGCCAATCGGTCCTACACGCACATTGAGGCCGTCGCGTGGGGCGGCGACCAGCTGGAATGGTCATTTGCGGGCAACAACTTGTCGACGCAACACATCCCGGCGCTCTCCACGGGACTCATCGTGTTGTCCGTCTAACAGATGACATTGGATTGCAAAGTAGGAAGAAAGCTGTAGCAAGCAATAAAATAAAATTCTTTATATGCAGAATGCTCCCTTGTTGTCGTTTCCCCGATGGATACTAATTGTGTTCGCTTTCGTCTCCATCCTTAGTCTATGGTTATACAATAATTCGCAAAGTGAAATCCGAGTATGCTGAGAATTGAAAGGATGAAAAAAGGATACCAAGCAAAAGAAGCCAGGAAATATAACAACACAACCCCCGAAGTAAGCAGTCCATTCTCTACGGCTTCGGCGATCCGCGCTTCAGGCTTGACGACCCACCGCCGCGGCCGCCGCGACTGCGGCCCTGGCTGCGTCCATCCTGCGTGCGGTCGTCCGCAGTAGCCTGCTGTCCATGTGCTGGAGGCGTCGCTGTGTGCGTCGGCTCCTGCGCGTCCGGACGGCCAGGCTCACCGTGGTCATGGTACACGCCCGCGTCATAGTCGGCCATGTCCTCGATACCGCCATCGCCGTCGTCGTTATGGCCATCGCCATCACCGTCGATAATATCCTGATCGTCTTCGTCTTCGTCGCTGCTCGGCAGGTCATCCATTGGTACAGGCTGGCCGTCGAGCGCGACAGGTCTGCGCTTCTTCTCAAAGTCCTGCTTATGGGCCTCGGCCATGATCACACCAATGGACTTGCCCAGCGTGCTCGTGAACCGGCGGCGGAGGGTGCCAAAGTCGCTGCTGCCGGCTGCAGCAGCCGGCTGCGACGGACTGCCACCGCCGACAGCGACACCCGTCGACGTACCTGTGGCGGCCCCTTCACCAGCACCGGCACCGGTACCGGCCGTGCCCTCTTCGGCGGCAGCGGCAGCATTGGTCGGCCCGTGCTCCTCCTCAATGTCGGGCCAAGCGGCCGTCGAGACAGCCGTTCCAGCGGTGCCAGGCGTCGGCTGCGGGCTGGGACGTTCCCGGTGCTTTTGCTTGCTCGACCGAATACTGGCGCTGCCGGCCGCCGGTGACGTACCTTGCAGACCCGGCGCGGCAGTGTCTGTCCGGCGCACCGTGCCGCCGGGCGTGGTTTGCCCTTCGTCCTCCTTGTCGTCGTCATCGTCGTTGTCGGCATCGACATCTTGCAGCAGCGGATGGTGTGCCAGGTCGAGGGCGGAGTCAATCTCATGCAGGTGGTAGGGGAGAGGCACGTCGCGGGAGGCTTTGTACTGGGCGACGTTGGCGCAGTGTTCGTTCTCGACGCGAATCAGGGCCCACATGCCACGGCGGGCGACCTCGCCAAAGGACACGAAAAACGAGCAGATGGTATTGTGCTGCGCGTCGTGCGTGAAGATGGCGTAGAAGATCCAGGAGAAACGCAGGAGGGGATCGAGGACCATAATGACATAGTAGATCCAGCGGCGTTTGAGGGCCAGAATGTCGCGGAGCATGAAGTGGCGGGAGTCGAGCTGAACGAGGGAGAAATCCATAAACAGATCCCAGAACGACGTGTAGAAGCTGTTGATGGTGGAGAACGTGATGAACAGGGCCAGGTTGGTATGCGACTCGTGGATGCGGTACAAGCTGAGCATGACGTAGCTCAGGATGGTCATTGTGTACTTGCCGCCGTTGACTAAATGCGGGAAAACGTTACGGGTGTCGCGGTACCGGCGAAAGCACTGAAGCAGCCGCCAGATGGGCGGCAGAGTCGAGAAGAAGCCGAGCAGGCGCGAGTGGCTGGAGTTGCATTGTTGGGGGCTGTTCCAGCCGTTGGCGTAGAGACAGAAGAAGAGCTCAACATTCTAAGAAAGAGAGGTTAGCAGGCCGATACTACGAAGTGGGCGCAGATTGACAAAATATATACTTACACACATGGAGTAAACTAGGGAGCAGTACATATCTCCCAGGAAGAAGTCACGGAACTCGACGGGATACAGCCCTGCAAAGAAGAGGCGCCACTGATTGTGTTAGCAGGGAGTCAACGAGAAGACAAAGGGCCGGTGGGCAAAAACGAAACGTACGTGGGAGTAGAGAAACCACTTCCGGCTGCGGTGCCAGAGTGCGGGCGCCGGGAAGAACAGCAGGGCGATGGTGAAGCCGACAAGAATGACGGGGTAGTAGAGAAAAAGACGCGGGTTGGCAGCGTCGGAGAAGTTGAGCCAGATGAAGAGGCCAAAGACCAGAAAGAAGAAGCTGGGGAACTGGGACAGCTGGCGCCAGTCGAGATGCGAGCGTGGGTCAAACTCGAAGATAAACGGGTAGTTGACCTTATTGATCGTCCAGATGCGGCAGTTGATGCAAAAGAGCGTAAACAGGAACAGCATCAAAAAGTAGCCGCCGTAGAGCTGCATCAGGTAGCTCGTTTGCGTGGCAAGCAGCGGGTCGCCGGCAAACAACTTCTTCGCGCCATCCACGGTGCCCTGGATCGCAAACACGGCACCCACACCAATCATGAGGCCGTTGCGGAAGGCGCTGCCGGACTCGTCGCCGGGGCGCTTCGTCAGGGCACGCAGCTTGCCGACAGCGATCTTGTGGTTGCCGCGCTCAAAGTAGCGCGCGTACAGGTCCTCGACGGCGACAATGAGGTCATCCACCGCTGTGCTGTTGACAAACCAAGACCGGTTGACCTTGTCGTTCATGTAGCGGTAGGGCGGGCGGGCGTTGACGGCCTTGTCGTACTTCTTGTTGAGCTTGCGGAAGGCGGTGCGGTTGAGCATGGCGTACGACTTGAGCAGCTCAAGGCCGCGGTAAAACTCCTGCAGGGCCAGCTTCAGCTTGCGCTTGGCTGTGCGGTAGGGGATGTCGTGGTCGCCGGGCCGGCGCACATAGTCGCGGTGGCCTTCGACGCCCGGCACGCCCGAGCCGCCGCCCAAAACACGGTCCAGCATGCGCGGCGTCTGCGGCATCTTTTGCAGCGCTTTGGAGTTGGGGCCCGGCTTGAAGATCTTGGCGCGAACGGGTGCAATCCAATCTTGGTAGACGTCCCAGGTTTTGCTGTCTTCTCCGTCGCTCTGGCGCCCGCTGTTGCCGCCATTGCCGTTGCCGCTGCCGTTGCCCGCACGTCGTCTACGTGATGTATTGTCATCGCCCGACGCGTTGGGGCTGATTTCGGCCTCTTCGATACCGCGTCGTTTCGCACGCTGGATCTCGTCGATGCGGCGGTTGCGCATCTCGTGCAGCTGGTCCCGCAAAAGGGCCAGGCGCTCGCCAGCCTGTTGCTCCTTAAGCTTGTAGAAGGTCTCGACCTTGTCTAGCTCGCCATCCAAAAAGCGGAAGAAGTCGAGCTCGCGCTCGCGGACCTCGTCAAAGGCATGCATGTTGATGTCGTCCTTGTTGTCGCCGACAGTCGAACCCCCGCCGCCACCGCCCAACGGCCACTGTTGTGGCGAGGCCATCGAGAACATGCGGCGCAAGCGTTGCCTAGGTGTCAGATCGAAGGGCGAAGGGAAGGCCGAGCTGCGGTACGACGGAGCTGTCTGGCCACTGTGTTCACCACCAGCACTGCCTGCACCGCCTGCACTGCCTGCACTCGGAATGTTCGCCATTGTGGCACTCCGGCGCTTTGGCGGGGCCCGCGAAGATGAAGCAGCTGAAGCAGCTGCGGGAGCCCGGTTCTTGACAACAGAAGCGGGCGGTGCGGGTTCGTTTGTATTCGAAGGCACGCGCATGGCGGGTGCCGGCAGCTCAAAAGTGCGGGAGCCATCCGTGGCGATAGAGGGACTTCGAAGCCGGCCGGTGTTCGTGATACTGCCATACTGCCGTTGATCGACCGGCGTTGCTGTCAGGCTACGGCGCTCGCCAGAGCCGGCGTCGTTGCCATCGGGGCCGTCGTCGGTGGCGTTCTTGCCCGACCTGGCGTCGTATTGCGGGATTGTGGAGCTGGTCGTTTTGGACCGCCCGACCTGGCCTGGGCGTCTGGCATTGTTGCTGCTGCTCTTGTTGTTGTTGTTGTTGTTGTTGTTGTTGTTCCCGCGTTTCGCAGAAAACGGACTGCCCGGTGCAAACAGGTGCGGCGTCTGTCGTGGCGGGAGGTCACCGGAGCGGCGGAGGATGGGCGTTGCGTTGGCTCGGGAGATGGCGCGCGAGACGGCCTTAATGTACTTCTTGCCGGCCTTGTAGTTGAGGTACTTGATACGCCATTCTGCCGCCTGGTTAGCCATGTCCACGTCACTGCGGGCAAGTCACAGTATTGTCGTCGGCCATACCGTCGTCGGCCACTCACCTGGGACGAGCTCCTGGTCGAGCTCTTTGGCAAACTTCATGACTTCAGAAGACGCCGCCCAATTCGAGGCGGGCGATTCAACTGTCAATCAGGACGTGGGACGGGTGCTCAAGACGGCCACCATGGGTGGAATCGCGCGCAGCGGGACAGCTGTTGTTGATGCTAGGATGGCATTGGAGTTGGCATAGAAATGTAGCTGAGCAAGTTTGTCGACGAATTGGTCTCGGGCGTAGCATCCACAGCAGAGAAAGTCGAAAAAGGCTGCAAAGCCTCTTGCCGAATGTAAATTTCAGAGCGTGTGGAGTAACTAAGTATGAAAGAAGGTGCACACCAAGCGTCATTACTTTCGGTTGGCGCGAACTTCAGCAGCGAGGAAGGCGCGACCCGGACCAACCTGCACAAGGCAATTTCGGGAGCCAATGAGCAGCCGCCAATAGAGCACAAGCTCCATTTTTACTGAATATGGTGGGGGCATTCCTCTGCAGATTCACTAACACGCGGCAGGTGCATATCTCGCAATGGGCTGCAGGACGTGGAAAGAACGAAGGCCATTTGTAGATTGCTTTCACGCCAGTCTCTGTGGCCAATTGGTTTGATGTATTCTTTCGAAACACGAAAAGTCAACGTATCACGGACTTTATAATTTTTTTACTGCTAACAGCATGCACAGATAACTCGCTTTGGCGAATGGGGCGAACGGGGCGATGAAAAGCCTCACCGAAAACACATTCGGTAGGCGCACTAGCAAATTTTTCGAAAGGAACGTCGAGAAAAATATTTCAATATTGGCGATTTTCAAGCATAAAGATATGGACTGCAGATATTCCAGTGCAATATTCAGGTTGACGTATAGATAGGTAGTAACGTCCCATGAAAAGAGGCGTTGTGTATATTTCTTGAATTTCTGAATCAAATTGTGGTATCTTTGGTATCGCATCTAATAAGCAACAGCATAAAGGGGGGAAACAAATCAAAAAATAAAAACAAAGGGACATCAAGCCCACCACATATTCTACAAAATAATTAACGAATAAAAAAACATCATATCATAATCCAATTTCTGGATCGTAGTCGCCATCACTCGATCCTTTGTGTGCGCCATACGCCGCTCTTTTGTCATGATTCTTGTAATCAAGGTGGTCCATGGTGGCATCGCCCCTCTGTTCGGCCGTGATCCGTTCTGTGCTGCCAGTTGTGGACGCCGGGTCAATACCAACGAGGGTGGCGAATGGACGGCGGCCGGCCTGAGACACACCGTCGCTTCCGACAGCAGTACCATGAGTAGCAGCTGCACCCGCTGCACCACCCGAACCCACGGGAATGTCTCTGTCCCCGAGGCGGTAGGCACCCGAGGTGCTGCGGCTGCGGCGGCTGGACATGCCCCAGGTGTCAAGAGCAAAGAGGCGGCGCAGCAAGGTCCAGCAAAAGGGAATGTTGGCGACCATGACGGCCGTGCTGGCCTCGCCATTGTACCAGATGAGAAAGACGAGGCTGTTGGCGACGGTGAAATTGTAGTAGCGGTTGAGGATGGCGACCAGGACGACGAGCAGGCCGAGACTGAAGATGCCACACAAAATAATCTTGCGCAAGAGCGGTAGCTTGGCGCGGGCAATCATAGGAACGGGGACGAGGAGCATGAGCAGGTCGGAGGAGACGTGGAAGACGGTGACGGTGATCATATGGTGGAGGTAGGTTTTGCACTGCTCTGTTGGCGGTGGCGTTAGTGACAAGCAGGACACATGTGTGTACAGTTTCGTCTCCTTTGGTTGTTTACACTCACCATGTCCTTCCGGCACCGGAACCGCCCAGTAGTCGTCAATGGGCCGGCACCAGACGCCCAAATACAAAATTTGGACGACGACGTAGCCGACAGCACAGTAGATGGCCACCACTTTGACAGCAAAGGCCTCGGTGAGGCCCGACGTCAGGCGGCCATACAGGATCAACAAACACGCCTTGACGAGCCAGACCGTTGCCATCATAAATTCCTCGAGGGCCAGCAGCATTTTGCTGCCCCATTCGGCGTCGCGGATTTCTGCGGGGGACCATGTGGCGATCTCGGCGTCGGACGCGTAGTTGCTGCCGCTGATGCCGACCTGGTTGGAGCAGACAGTGACGCCCGTGAAGGTGAGGACACACAGAGCCATGAGGTAGTCGTCGAGCTGCAGTTTGCGCCAGCTGCCGAGGGCGAGGCGGCGGGACAAGAAGCGGGCAAACACAGTCGCCATGCCAATGCTCCAAAGCGCCCACGAGCCGGGCAGAAGGCCGGGGAGGTGTTTGGCCATCGTGTCGTGGGGGTCGAGGACGACGGGAAGGTGTACTCTTGTCGTCGTTTAGACTTCAAAGAGGACGCCCATCGTGGGTGCTGATACGAAATGCACAATTTTCGAAGTGTTAGGCAGTAAAGTAAAGTCGACAAATGGCAGAGTTTGCTGTTTCAGAATGCCTCGAGGCAGGATCATGATGTGAGTGTGGTGCCGAGTTCATGGCTCGAGCGTATGTGTCGGCAAAGGGGTAAACCGGCCGCAACGAGTATACATATATCGAAAAGGCTGAGGTACAATGCTCTCTTCCCTCTCCATCCAGGCACGAGGCCACCATGACCATCCCACACCTCCTTTCTCCGTCGACTCCACTCTCTCCCACACCGTTGGACACAGATAAAAGCAAGGTACGGAGTTCCCGCAAAGAGTCAATCCTGGTTCATCAATCACACGTCAGGCCGTCAAGAAGAAGGAGGGAGGGAGGGGGGGGGGGGGGGCGATGGCTGTAAAAGAAGGCTTTTTTTGTTAAAAAACACCTTCTTATCTGTGGCAAATTCCCTTACAATCAGGGGTACTCGTCCCGACTCTGGGTTTGGGACGTTGGCTGGCTTGATAGACGAAATCGACAGACAAAGCGGTGCGGGCCAGCCTTATCTTTGCTCGGTCTCACAGAACGGAAAGTGGTCGCGTGTGGACTCTCAGTGAACTCGCTGGCCGCCGCGCTCCGTTGCCGTTTGCGTATTTTAACGAGCTGTTTCCCAGAAACAGACGGCAAGGATGTTTCTCGGTAACAAATCAACTTTCAGATATCCCGTGATCGTCATGTACGTCGCATACACATATACAGCAGCAACAAATGATAAAAGATATATAGCCCGCATCTCGTCCGCTGCAAAGGCGTGGCTTGATATGGCCGTCAAACAGAATAGTGGGATCATTGCTGCCATCCCAGCAGCGCATGCCTAAACAGAACAGGGGTTTGCGACTGCCCATCGCATCAGTCCAGGACTCACCCGTGTCCTTCGTGCGAGATTGATTTCCTCGTCAAAATACTCTATCTCGCCCCCACGTTTGTTCAATGCAACAAAAAAATGTCTGCCAAGACGTTGCGCTTAGAAAACCAGTATCTGAGACATAAAGCACAATCATGGAATAAGGCCCCCGGGTGTGCAAAGGATATCGGAAGAAGGAATGCTCGTCAAGGTGGCCAGGAACGTCGTTGCCAAGACGTGGAGTGATTGTTTCCTGACATCTCCATCTCACCCGCCACTCACCCGCTCGTCTACCACAACGTGCCACAGCAATTTCACACTGCCGGGCCTGTCAGACAGTTAGCTCCCGCTTCCCTTGCCGACCGACGCCTAGCCAAAAGACGACAAGACATAAATTCGGAATAAAAAACAGGATAGAATGTGTGAGTGAAATGCTAAACAAGAATCTGGTGGTTGTTTCTGGTATGTGTTGGGCCCTCATCTGGGTCTGTATGCGGTATATAAAGTGTTACATGCAGGTATGAAAAAGCCTGTGTCTATGCGTCATGAGTCTGTGATTTCTGTTCACTGGTATTGTTTCTCCCCAACAATGCGCCGCTTTCCGTCGTTGACGTCGTTCTCGTTCTGTATGGTCTGTTTATGCGGCCTGTATGCAAAAGCATCGCGGTTCGCAATGGCGCCTTCTCCTGCTCACCGCCCCCGGCCCAGGCGCTCTTCGTCGTCGTCCATCAGTTCATACGCAGGCCGGAAGGACATGGGCGTGGATGCACCGCTGTGGTCTTCGGCATCGTGGGTGCTCTTTGCCTTCTTGGCGAGGACCGGGTTTGGGCGGGTATCGGTGGTGCCGCCGAGGGAGGTGAAGCCGCGGTTGTAGAGCTGGCAAAAGGGGATGTCGAAGTGGCGGATGAACTAGAAAAGGTTAACAAACGACCGGCGACAAACGGCAAACGCAGCAAAGGGCCCCAAGACGTACAGCCCAGATCTCGGCATAGTGCCAGTCGATGACCGGGTGGATGCGCATAAACTGGGGCCACCCGGCATCGGTCGGCGTGAAGTGGGTGAGGAGCTCTCCGTGGGGATCGGTGCGGCGGGTGCCCATGAAGATGGCCTGGACGGCCGGGCGGTCGGCGAGGTAGGCGTCGAGGGCAGCGCGCATGGGCAAGGGATAGCGGGCCAGGTCGAGGTGGTAGTCGGCGGTGGACTGGTCGACAAACTCGTCGACCTCGGCGAAGGGGTCGGGCGGGACAATGTAGATGGCCTGGAAGGGGCGAGGTGCCGTGGACGCCCGTGGTGACGTTGCCGTTGCCGTTGCCGTCGGCGGTGGCAGTGTCGGTTGTGCCGACGTCTGTGATGTCGGCGCAGTCGCGCGTGTTGCTGTCGATGCTGATGTCTGTGCCCCCTCGGATGTCTTGCCCGCAAGCACCGCCGGCTCATTGACCACCGGCAGACAGGCCAGGATCAGGATCAACAGCACCAGACAGTCCTTGCCGCCATTGTACGACAAGGAGATCTGGTCCAGAGTATAGCGACGCAGGGCCTGCTCAACGACAGAGACGGAGATGCGGACCTGGTTCTGCACGTTGCGCAGGATCTTTTCGGAGGCGGGGATCTCCTCATCCAGGAACGCCAGGACCTTGTGCCGCAGCTTGTAGCAGACGTCTGGGAAGTGGTGTGCTTGTGCTGCTGCAGCAGGTTGTGACGACGCCAGCAATGGGTGTCCGTCGCCGCTGCCGGCGCCGTTTGTGTGGGGGCCTATGCCGTTGGGACTTGTTCCATCGCCGGCCGACGGCCGGCCGCTGGTCTGGTCCGTCATTGGTCGGCTGATCGGATGGTCGGATGGTTGGTCGGCGAGGCGTCGCAACGACGGGTTGCTGTTGGTTGTTGGCCGCTGAATGTCACAAGCAAAAGCAAAAGGTCCCGTTGCGCCGAAATACAGCACCTGGACGAAATGGCAAAACCCTTTGATCAAGCACAGCACGACACAAAAAGGAAGTTAAAAAGAAAGTTAAGCCGCATAGGACTAGCCAACCGTGCGACAGGGACAGACAGTCTGGCGGTTATTGGATTTGCTTTGTTCGTTGGCTTGGTGGCCTCGGTGGTCTTGTCATTTGGTGACAAAAACGCGGCCGTGGTCGGGGGAAGTGGGATGCGTGGGATGTGGGGGAGTCGGGATGCGCACAGTTCAGGTCTCACAGGCAAGAGGCAAGACCGAGACAGAAGGCGATAGAACATTTGGCGGCAGAAAACGATCCCCACACACTAGACCAGGCCCAAATAGTAGCCGGTTTCGCCTGTAAGAGCACCTGCCCAGCCGGACAAGCGCGGGCTGGCAAGCGGAAGAGAAAAGAGGAAAGAGAAAAGAGTTAAGAAGGAGAATGCGCTGCAAGGAAGGAACGTTCCAGAGACCTTCCGTAGCACGGTGCTGGGCGCATAAAGTTGACATTCGAAAGAACACCCCGCGCCGTGTCCGGAGAAAGAACTACCGACCGGAGTCAAATTTCGCGTCTCGTGATTACTTCAGCTTGTTTGGCAATGGCGTTGTGTGACAGACAGCCAACTGAAAACTTGAGGACTGGGCGTGTACGATGCTCTCGTCCGATGTCAAAAGACAACGAAATAGTTTGGTTCAGCCTGCAGGCCAGATTCTTGCGCCTACCGCTGGGTTGGTTCGGATTGTGTTGGTGTTGCCATTTGGCTCATGGTGTGAAGGTGCGGCGCGGGTCCACCACGAGCTCTTGCCGTTTACCGGGTAAAACAAAAAGAGACAAAAGATTGGACAAGGCAGGGTCCAACGAAAACGTCCAATTTGCCATAGAACCTCATGTATCTGCCGACTCGTCTACTTGCATCCTACTGTATGGTCCTCTACTCTGTTTTTGCTGACTCAAAGGATTAGAACAAGCCCCTCGGGTATGGCGTAATTAAAGCCTGAATGCCGAGACCTGAAGAGCCGAAACACCGGCATCGCTGCGTGGCATAATAAGGCACAAGGTCGACAGTGGAAGTTGGGCTTCCCCAGCGAGACAGTGGGCGGTGTGGGGTACTAACGCCCACAAGAATAAGAATAGCGCCATGAATCATTCCCCATCATCATCGAATGTGACATCTATGTCTAGTTTGAAGGCCAAGGTAGCTCACGTAGTCAATCGTGTTTGTATGTTTATCAAAGGATTTACTAGATCGGTAAAAATAAGATACAAAAAAGGTGTATAAGAGTATACATAGCATGCATAAATACAATAAAATGAAAGAAAGAAAGAGTAGCAAAGGAAACAAGCTGTTATTCTCGGCCGCGCTGCTCTGCATTTCCGATTGGGCACACTGGCAAACAGCCCTCAAACACCATCGTCAAATCCCTGCAATACAGCAAGACTGAAGAATACGAGCAAGGCTTCTTGGTAAAAACCTGCTGCTTGCCCTGTCTGTTATCGGCTTATCCGTCAATGGCGCATGGCGTATCCTTACTCTTCATAGCAGGGCGACTTCTGCAGATCAGCCGCTCGCCTGTGGCGTTAGATTGGCGGTGCATGTCGCCGGCGTAACGTGCCAGTCGATGCGGATAGTCAACGACGTACGACATACACGGCACAAGGCTTTACGAGCCCCGCAAAGGGCAAAAAGAAAAGCACCACAGCTACAGCCGCAACCAGAACGGCATCCCCCGAAACACAGAGCAACGGAGACGGCGACCTGCAGTAAGACGCAGGGCTTCCCATTTTGTACGAGCAAAGGGTATGTGGATGAGCGCGAACCATGCCAACCCCCCGTATCCTTTGAAAATCGCAAAGCACTCCGTATGTTTTTCCGATGTGCGCCTACGGTGACCGCTACCGCCACCGAAAATAGCCTCTGTGAGGAATGTGCCCCCTGGCTCCGACGATCGTCTCAGTCTCACGACGGTCCGCCGCCTAAGCTGTGTCTTACTATTTTTGGTGACGTGCGAGCGTGGGTGGTCGGTGTGTGGACGCTCTCCTATATTCCTGTCAGGATCATCCTTCAGCATTCCAGACAATGACCTTGCCGACCGGCAGAACGGTCCATCGTCCTGGACAAGCATCGTCGCTCAATTCGTGTATCTTGGAACAGGCACGCAATGGCGCCTGTGAAAATGCATGACGTCTTATGCTACATGCGCTGCGACAGTGCAGCCAGGGCAAAGCGCCCGTACCAGGTTCAAGAGACTTAACAGCGCTGTTATTGCATATGTCAGTGCAACGGTCTTGACCTTGGCCAGTGCATGAAAATCGCCGACGGTAGAACTGACAGACTCGGAGCAAAGGCATCTCTTTCATCGAACCATTTGTCGTATCCTGTGCCCTAAAGAAAACAATGTGCATTTTGATGAATGGGATTGAGGGAGCCCGTTGCGCTTGACGTCAATCTGTGTTTTAGTGTCTTGGGGTGGCTAAAATCTTAAAAACGTTGGATACGAAAAGATGAGATCAGGGGACCTCGATGCAAAAGAGGACTCCCACTGGCCATGGGGATAAGCAGGTACAAATTGTACACGTTCCTTTCAGGTGGACACGACTAAAAATCGCCGAAAGCGCGCCGGGGCACCAGTTTTGCCTCCGGGTGGGCAACGAGACGCGACATGAGAGTCGAGAGAGGAGAAGGAGAACCAAGAGAAGAGACTGTAAAATCAAAAGCACGGAGAGCCGTGAGATACGAGTACGAAGGGGCCCACTATTACATATGCCGAGTCTCTCGCTTCTTTCCAGTTCCGTCCACTGAACTGAACCCATGCTTTGAGACAAAACCAATTGACGGGCAGTTTGACGCGATGAGACACGAGCTGAACGTTTGCGGGTTCAAATTCAGGACTGGAAGCTAAGGGGAATGGCATCGAGAAAAGGGTTGTAGGCAAGACAAAAAAGAAAGAAAGAAGAGAAAATGAAATAGAAAAGGCAGCTTGAAAAAAGAAACAAACGCCAGGGTCCAGCGCACTTAGCGCTGAACAGGACCATCATAGCCGGACTGCGTTGTGCGCTGTGCACGCTGTTATGTATTTGCTTCAGGGCACCATGCTCCCTGTATTTCAACGCACAGCCATTAGTCCAGTCTCCTAGTCAACCTTGTCTCGTTTTGTCCGCTCGTATCTGCTCGTCAGTCGTCGTGTCACTGTCCATGACCTCTTCCGTCTTGTTCCCCTGCATCAAGCTCAGCCTTGCTCTGGATGTAACTTGATTGACGCCCAGGCCCTGTCAAAGCAAGGCAAATCCCATCATGCAGTAGGCCCCGTAGTAGCGGTCCACAGAGAAGCTTCACTGCCCGTGCAGTGGTGCCACAGCGCTGCCAATGCTGCAAAATGGTTGCCAGATCTCGTTCGCCTGCGTTTTCCCATTCTGTCGCCGTTGTGCGAGTTGTGCACATCAGTGCATGTAACTTACAATATCTTATTTTGTCTAGCGATTTTCAAAGGAAGAGCCTCCAGAGTGACTAGCAAAGAAAGTGGACAAGGACAGAGATAAGCTTATGTGTCCGTTGATCACCGTTTTGAGGAATGTCTCCGCCCTCTGCCTTTCCATGATGATCCCCCCAAGACTCTGTTTCCAGCCCCCCCCCCTCTCCTCGCACGGAAGCCTTTTCTCATTTCCCACCAGCCTCCTGTCACTTGATGCCACTCTACTGTTTTCCCTGTAAGAGACAATGCATCCCCAGAGGTGGGATGCGTGGCATCGTGCCGCTTGTGCCAATGGACCGAGCGGGCATGCATCCCAACTCGGAAGTTCCCTACGCCAACCTGTCGCGAGTGTACGAATTACGACGTATGTATGTTGTTTTTGAACGAGAAACGCTACGAGTCGCGGAAAAGAGACTGCCAAAACAGGAATGCAAGGCGCTAGGGCTGTTCACTAGTCTTTGCACTTCGCATAGAGCTTGACAGGGCTTCTCCGCACATGCAGAAATGGCAGGATAAGAAAAAGGAATTTGGTGATGTGGGATGTGTGACGAAAATGCCAATGGCAGCCTTTGGGGCTCACCGCATGCATAAATATGCAATCCATCTGCACCAATATTACGCGAGACAACCTTGGGGTGCAGTTGTATGCTCCGTCATAACGCAAACCATGTGTATTGTATCGTTGTACAATGGATGCGAGCACGAATTTGACAGTGTGCTCACCGTCGTATTTTGGACAATCAATCGCCGGGACACAAATGCTCTGTTCTCCGTTGCAACCACGTCCAACGACCTTCTTCCCTCTCCCTCCCGTGCTGTCCTGGTCTCTTCTCCCTGCTCGCTGTTGTGCAGAGCCTTCCCTGTTTTGCCCTTGTTATTACCCGACTTTGCAATCTACTCGCATGCGAATCTCGATCTGTCCTGCCGTTTGAGGGAGTACTTTCGGCAAGGTGAACTGCGTCGGCCGAGCACTTCCATTTCTCCTCTATTCTCCACGGCTTGACATCACAATGCGGGTACTCCTGGTCTTTTTGAATCTTGGCCGATCAGCAAACGTGGGGACATGGGGGTCCCCTGTATCGTACTGGGCTTTGGCGCTCTTCAAGGCCACTCAACCGGCTGTAAGTAACCACATGCCGCCCTGAAAACGACTCCGGCCAGTCCGACAAAGCGGGCTGAAAGTGGACCGATGATGGTGGTGCTCCATGTGCTCCAACGAAGGCATAACTTGTCCCAGCGAGAGCTGTATCTACCGGATCGGAAAAGTCGTGCATTTGCTTTCCATCGCACCGTTTCTGTCTCGGCGGCGAACAAGCCGAGCAAGGACTTAAGTTCCTTGGACAAGCTCTCATCAGAAAGGCACATCCTGGGACGTCGTGTTTCGGTCAACTCTATCCCAGACGTCATTGCTTCCTTCCCGTTCCAACGCTGTCAAGGCGCCATGCACATTCTTAGTTGGAACCGCGGCCGAAAGGAGCAGGAACGACATCTGGCTCCGTGTGCTCAACCTCAAACAACGTCGACCATTGACGCCTCAATCAACTAGCGACATGGCAATAATGACAACAAAATCAATAATAGGCATCGCCATAATCAGAATGGACAACAACACCGACAACAACAACGACAACAAAAACAACAACTCCCACCAATCCGATAGCCCACAAGCGCCGAGTCGCCAACAGACCTCCCACAGCTCCGACCGCCTCTGCACCTTCCCTCGCCAACTGCCCAATGAGTTCCAATCTCACCCCTGTTCGGCCGGCACCAGTGGCCCCACCCCAAAAGCGAAAAAGGTGCACAAACGTTCCTTCCTCTCTTGCCATCACCCGCCGAACCAGCACAGCCTACTCAGCCCACCCTCCTTTCCTTCGTTAGTCTTTCCAACCAGCTCGGATCATAGCATCATCACCGGCTCTGTCCCAGTGGGCAGGAGCGCTATGCAACGTTGACGGCCAGTGACGATCCCTAAAAGAGGTTAAGCCTTGACCTGTCTTCCCTGCCACCCCTACACATGAACGGAGCAACAGCCTCCAAGCATCAAGAGCACCCCTGTAACACACGACGCAATAACTGGCAAGCAACAGAAAGTACGATCGTATCGAGTCGGCTCTTTATTTTCCAAAAAAAGTAGCACTTTCAGACAAGCCTCATGAGCTGCAAGCAAAGGATCCTAATTTACAAACAATTTTTTGAGAATATGTACATAAATAATAAATCTCCCAAGTCAAAAGCGTACGGTAAACGGGTCCTACCTGAAGACACCAGCGGCGGCGGCGAATCGAGAAAAAAATGTGTGTTTGTGTGAATAAATGCAGTGAGAATGAAGAAAAAACGCAAAGGCCCACGCCAAACCGCCGAACAAAACTCCCTAGCTTCCCGCCAATCTTTTCTAGGACATGTCTAAGGGCCCATGTTTTAGTGCAGCCCCCCCCCCTCTTTCCCCCATTCCCTCTTTCGTCGTTGCTCTCATCGCCCTCTTTATCTCTCCACCACTTCCCACTTCCTTCTTTGCAACGTCGTCTTTCTTCTTCATCTCGCCTTCTCTTTCACATTTCACGACCAAATACTCCTCTCGCCCCTTACCTTTTATCACGAATTCTCCATTCATCTCCACGACCGACATCAGGAATGAATTGACACTCGAGCCGCCAACAAGGGCTCGACCCAATAAAAAACTGTATTTTTACGGACAGCTTCAAGATAACCTCAACGCCCGATCTTTGTGGCCCTGGCCCACGGCGGCCCAACACGGCACAACCCTCGATGTGCCTCGACATTAGCCCGTAGCACATACTCTACGCAGGCGAAGCGATTCACTGCGTCTGCTTCCATCGCGGCAGTCCCGTATTTCCTCAAAACAGCCGCCAGCCGACACATTTGACAAAAGGGGCCTCGATTTGCTACAAACGACAACGAGCTCGGCTACCCAGTAAACTAAAGTGAACACGAAGAGCAACTGCGCCATCTTGATCGGCCACTTGCTTTTTGTTTGTGTCCTGTTGTTCCGAGCACGCCCTTGCTGGCTCCCAAGAGATCGAGTACATTAAGCGACGTCTTGCTCCTCTCGCCAGCCTATTCTGCCGCATTTCCCGTCTCGGATTTCACTGCGAGCCGCCTTCTCCCCCACAGCTCGTCTCGACCTGTCTATCTCTCTCTCGCTCTCATCCTTCTCTCCCTCTCTCCACCATGTTCGAGTCTCATTTGTCCGTGCGACAGCGCCCGGTCGACCCATCTCAAATGTACAGACACTCCCGCACACGCACTACCTCGTCCAACGTCTTTCCGAATGCCGCACCACAACAACATCTGCCACCGCACATGCAGCCCCGCGAGCCGCAAATGAGCCACGCACAGCGCTCGGCCTCCGTCAACACCTTTAGCACCGTCTCTAGCGGCGGCGGAGGCAGCGGCAACATGGCGCCACCGGCCGCCTACCGCACCAGTCCGACCAACGACGTCCGCCGATCCACCTCCTCCCGCTCTGGCAGCGCCTCCGTAGCCCCTCAGACCTCATACGTCGCCCTGCTCCGCCGCCAAAAGGCCACCGTCTGGAGCGAGCGTGCCCAGTTTGAGGACCCCCGCATCGCCGCCCAGCAAAAGGCCGCCCGCATGCGTGCCAACCGCGAGATCCACGGCGCCGGTGGCGGCGGCGGTGGAGGCTACAACGGCGGTGTCGGCGGCACACGCACGAGCACGGGCATTAGCTCGGCCGGCGGCAAGATGTCTGCCAAGATCCGCCACCACGGCAGCAAGGCCGGTGCCCTGGGCTTCGGCGCAGATAGCAACTACGTCGGCATTGGCGGCGTGCCACTGCGCCTGAGTGCCACCGAGGTCGAGCCGGAAGACAGCGATGAGGACGATTTCGGCGCTGGCGGGTCGGGCATGCGCCTCAACCACCGCCGGACGGGAAGCAGCGGCCGCAGTAGCACGGCGAGCGGCCGGCGCAATCCGCCGTACCGGACGTCCACGGGTGGGCTGGTGACGTCGGGCTCGGGAAGTGGCAGTGGCAGTGGCACCCGACGCTACAGCCCCAACGACACCCCCGAACGTGCTGACAGTCTTGTGGACGACGGTGCCTTCACGACGTCGGCGGCCAGTGGCCTGCGCGACGATGCCGCCAGCGAGAAAGCGCGCAGTACGGCGAGCGGTAGCAGCGCTGAGAGGGCCGACAATGTACCCGATATGGCCTCGTCCAACCGCCTGCCCGCGAACAGCACGATCAACCAGACACTCACGCGTGAGCGCAGCACGCGCAACCCGGAAGATCTGCGGCGTCGTGGCAGCGTCGACGAGCGGACCATGACCCTCTCGACGGCGGGCCGCCTGTTCATTGCCAACCCCGATTAAGCCCCTGGCAGGGCTTGCCTTATTTCCTGTTCATGTTTCAGCGGCGCAATCTGTCTATCTGTCTTTCCTTGATGCACCATCCTCTCGTTTAGCGAATTCTCGCTTTTAATTTGCACATATGACATGCCACTGCATTGTGAGGAGTTCTTTTTGTCTTCCACCGATCATACGTTCATAATACTTTCGTTTATTGTTTCTGCCGAACTACCTTTCTTGGATCCTTCTCTTTTATCGTCTTGTTTTATGTTCTCTCTCCAAGGATTCTGGACAGCACTTTGTATATGATATTTCTCTCTCGCTGCTTCGTGGCCTTGGTGCAGTCGCTCACACTTATCGATACCTTTTAATATCAAGAATCTGGCTTGACTCCGTTCTTCGATCCCTGTAAAATACCAGTTGCTCATGGCTTTGTTGCACGTTGCTAAAGTACCTAATTTGGCGCAAAACGTGGGAAGACCCACTTTATCAGCCACGCACCCACGAGCCACACTTGACCCATAACGCGTAAAGAGACGCCAACTGAACGCGTCGGTCTTTCCCTGTGCTTGATCTCTCTTTTGGCTCCTACCGGAAAGGTTCCACAGCAATTCGTGCCGTCTTCTGGGGAGTGCAACCGTGAACGCTCCTTCCACTCCGGCCAACGTAAGGAACGGATCCAATCTACGCGTCTCCCTTCTCGTGCCTCTTTTCCTCTTCCCTCACGCAATACCGTCTCTCGTTTCTCTCACAGGCTCACAGAGCACCGCCATCCCACAATACCAAACCTCCTCCTCTTCCCTTGCTCTATTTGTTCTCGTGTGACTTATTTTCCCGCTCTTGTATTTGGTCCTGTATACCATCGCGTGTCTTCTTTACTTCTAACGGCCAACCTCGGATCAAGAGCGACGTCGAACCAACAACCATTTACCGACCTCGCTGTCACGTCGAACTACACCGTAAACTTCGTACCATTTCGATGCAAGCGACTCACAACCGCTACTATACATAGGACATCTTGTCCACACCTTCGACTCTCTCCGCTATCCTACCATCCTTCCATACAGAAGCCCTCCTCCGCTCCTGAACTATTGGTCGACGGCCCCGATGCCCCTTCTCGCCATGTCCCCCAACATCCAGGACGGCGGCACCGAAACGCCGTCCCGGAAGAGAACCCTTATGGACTTTCTCGGGGGAGCCAACGCCCAGACGGCCAAGGCGGCCGCTCTCGCGACCAAGCCTTCCACCCCCAGCAAACTCCAGCTCGTCACCGATGCCGACAACCTTGCTTCCTTCGAAAAGGAACAGCAGAAGGAACAAAATGGCACGGGCGAACCTACATCCCCCATTGACCTCATGGCCATTGACTCTCCGTTGTCCGAAATGTCTGATGATGCGCTGTCTCTCCTCACCGACGACGCCGGCAGCAGCACACCGGCCCGCCGGTCCACGTCGCCCAATGCCACACCATGCAAGTCGTCCGCCGGTGCGTCCCCGCAAGTCGTCATCACCATCGACGCGACACCACCACCAGGCCTCTCCGCCTCAGCCACCACGACCACAACCACGACACAACCACCAGCTGCCAAACGCAAGCGCCTGACACCCAGCGAGCGCGAAGAAAAGGCCAAGGCGGACGCCGCGCGGAAACTAGAAAAGGAAAAGGCGGAAGCGGCACGAAAGCGCGAGAAGGAAAAGGCCGAGGCCGCCAAGAAACAGGAGCGTGACGAGCAAAAGGCGGCTGCCGAGGCCAAGAAGAAGGCGGTCGCCGAAGAAAAGGAGAAGAAGCGCAGGCAAAAGGAGGAGGAAGACCGGCGGAAGAACGAAGAGAAGGAAAAGAAGCGGAAAGAAAAGGAGGACGAAGACCGGCGGAAGAACGAGGAGAAGGAGAAGAAGCGGAGAGAAAAGGAGGACGAGGAGCGCAAGATCCAGGAAGCCAAGGACAAGAAGGAGCGGAGCCAGCTTCGACTCAACTCCTTCTTCAAGACCCCCAGCAACAGCAGCGCATCTACGTCCGTCTCTTCCACCGCAGCAGTCACAACAGCATCCGGGTCGCTGCTACCGGCTGGCAGCTCACCACGGAAGCCGGCGGCCGTTCGCGGAAACTCTGCGTCGCCACGGAAGCCAACATCATTTGCCACGGGCGACGCCGCGAGCCTGTCCGAGTCGGGCACCGTCGCTGCCGAGGTGTCAGAATATGACCGCGTCTTCAAGCCCTTTTTCGTCAAGGAAAATGTCGTCATGGCCACCGACCTCTATGGCATGGACGACGAAACCAAGGAGGCCAAGTCGCGCATCCTCGACGAGTTTCTCGCAGGCTCCCGTGGCGAGTTTGCACCACCGCAGCCTTTCAGCGCAACGACTGCTGTCGACTACTTCCACCTGCCTGGCAACCCGGCACTGGCACGCGGTCGCAACCGTCCTACGGTACGCAAGATCATGAATATGCTAGGCCCTAATGCCATGTACGGTGGCCTGCGCAGCGGACTTGACGGCGAAAGTGACGCGCAAACCAAGCTGGCGCTGCATCTGCTCCAGTCGACACCCATGAAGTACCTTTTCTTCCGCGAAGATGTGCGCCCGGCCTACTTTGGCACAGTCACCAGCCAACCACCAACCGCGCGGCTGTCGAAACTGGCCCGCAACCCACTTGCCAAGACGGTGCTGCCCCTCAACTACGACTATGACTCGGAGGCTGAGTGGGTGGACGACGGCGATGGTGAGGACGTTGACGACCTGGACGACGACGAAGAGGAGCTGGACGACGATGGCGAGATGTCTGATTTCCTGGACGACTCGGAAGACGCCATTCCCCTGCGACCAGCATTTTCGGGTGGCATGGAGCCCGAGAGCACGGGCGTGTGCTGGGAGAACGAGCAGCGAATGGCGTGCAAGCCTGCGCTGGACAGCTTCCGGATGGAGTTTATTCTGGGTATGTTTTGCTGCTCTTTGTTTTGCTACTTGTTCTGTCGTCGCCGCGACTTCACTAACAAGAACAGACCACGATGGACCGATTGATCCTTTCTCGACACAATACTGGGAGACAAAGGACCCAGCACCAGCACCCGACGCAACAACTACAGCATCAGGCACGCCGAGCAAATCCAAAGCCATGGCGCCACCACCTGCTCCGTCTGACGCCTTTGCTGCATTGGGAGCGGGTGCCGCAGCGGCCAGTTCATTGACAAAATCCGATCCGGCCACGTCAGCATCGTCGGCTTCGTCCACATCGGCCGCGCCGGCGGCAGCAGACGCAAACAGTGGCAAGGCTGCGGACCCGAAGAAGGCTGGTGTTGCCGCCGAGTTCGTGCCGGACTTGAAAAAATCCATCCTGCAATATGCCAAGCTCAGCAAGTTGGGCCTGGTCGAGATGTTGTCGGTCGAGTTCATGGGCAAGTGCACCAAGGGCCAGATCAAAAACTCGCTCGAGGCACTGGCCGAACGGACAGGAACGGGGATCAACAAGACGTGGAGGCTCAAGGCGTGATAGACTGCTCCGGCAATCCTTGCCATTCTCTTTTTTTTCGTCTTTATGTCTGTTACGGCCGTTTTAACAACGGAGCCGTCGGGTCTGTTTTACTAGCATATGGTGGGCAAGGCGTTCGTTACCATTTGTTTGCTGTTCCTTCACTCTTCATACTATATCTGACGACACCGACCTTTGCGCGGTCCGTTGCATGTCCCACGTCTTACATTTCGTTGTTTGCTTCATTGATCTTGATTGCCTGCTGCACGGTCTTTTATTCCTGTCTTTCGTATTTTTTTTCTGCGATGCAGCTTCATGGGTATGACTATTATGGGCAAGATAAAACATGGATTCTGTCAAAAAGACAACACAAATAAAGCAAAATATTCGCAATGACTCGTTACCCATCTGGGAAGACGACGAAAGCAGGACAACGATGGTGACGACAAGGAGTTGCCTACCTTCTTTCACGTGGTAAAATTAAAGTGATGACGAGTCCACACGTGAGGCTGTATGTACAGAAAATTCGAGAACATGGCCATGGATATCGTTTGGTGCAGTCTTTAGTTCAGCATAGCCTTGTCAGTGTTGCATTGAAAACGTTCTTTTTGATGCCTATTTGCGGTTTACACAGCAGACGTCCATTTTGCGATTGAGTGACGCAGCGTTTCGTAGGATTTGCAGTCTAGCCATAAGGATGGAAAAGTACAGTTTTGCAGGAAATACGCACATAAAATACATCATTTCTCACGAAGGTTGCCCCACCATATCCACTCTGGGCCAATGGCGTTAAAGAGCTGCCTGGCGCGCACCCGACTCGGAAGCGAGAAAAAGGCGAGCTTTTGGTGGTACTGCCAGCCATTTTCGCTGTGAACTCGCGCAAGGTTCGCTGGCGGCCGTTGGCGACCCGCGTGCGAGCGCTGGCGAGCTTGGGCCGGAGCTATCTTGCCCTACGACGATGCCAGTATGGCACGCTTGAAAGACACGATGCAGACTCAAAAAACAGTGCAATGCAAAAATGTATAAAAGTCCAAGGAATTGTCCGCCACGACGAGAATATTAGAAAAGAAAATCATCCTCAACAAGGAATCCATCAACTACGCAAAAGCATCTCTGCAACGACCTCAACAACAGCACTCCTTTTCATCACAACTTCCACTTACACCGCAAGCCCCACTTTTTACTTCACAATGTCTCTCCAGTTCATTGAAAACGACGGCGGCAAGCTTGCCGTTGAGACCCGCGGCCCGGCGAATGCGCCCCTCGTCGTCTGCTCTCCTGGCCTGGGCGACACCCGCGACGCCTACTACAACGTGGCGGACCAGCTCGTTGCGGCCGGCTACCGCGTCGCCCTCGTCGACCTCCGCGGCCAGGGCGACGCCTCCACGGGGTTTCGCAGCTACGGCGACAGCGAGACGGCCTCGGACTTGATCAAGGTGGTCGAGACCCTCGCACCGGGCGGTGGCCGCGCCGTCCTCGCCGGCGGGTCCATGTCTGGCGGCGCCGCCACCATCGCCGCCGGCCAGCGCCCGGACCTGGTGGCCGGCGTGGTCCTGCTCGGCGCGTTCCTGCGCAATGGCTCGGCCGGTGCCGTGCTGCGCTTCATCATGTACCTCCTGTTCCTGCGCCCCTGGGGCCCCAGCATGTGGAAGATGTACGCAACCACCCTGTGGCCCGGTCTCGGCCCCGACGGGGCCAAGGCGCGCGCGGCGCGGTCCACCCGCCTCCTGACCCGCAAGGCCGACCCCGCAAGCAGCGGCAGCACCGAGAGCCGGTGGGCGGCGTTCCAGTCGCTGATGGGAACGATTGACCACGACAAGGACGTCGCGCCCTGGCTGCCCAAGGTCAAGACGCAGCCGGCGCTCGTGGTGGTGGGCGACAAGGACCCGGACTGGAGCCAGCCGGTGGAGGAGGCGGCGTGGGTGGCGAGCCAGTTTGCGGCGGGCGCGACGACGACGCTGGTGGTCGAGGGCGTGGGCCACGCACCGCAGTACGAGAAGCCGGACGTTGTCGGTCCGGAGATGGTGCGGTTCCTGAATGGGCTGCGCCAAGGCGACAGCTTCAAGATGTCCGTGTAGTTGGGGGGAGTGTAGCAATTTCCCAGGGAAAGCTTTACAGGATGCAATGGTGTTGTGCCGGACGACAGATGGCGGTCTAGTAATGTTTCGCGGTTGGCATTGACGTTTTGGTTTTGGTTTTCGATCATCCCATAGATTTTCTTTGTTTATGAACTGTAATAATTGTGCACCATTTTCACGTTTTATTCTCATTTCTGTTACATATCCAGATACCAAAATGCATTAACATTTATTTGATACAAATTTTATTCAAAAAATCAAATAAATAAATACAAGCATTCTCATAAGTGAATATTATTAAATAACCTAGCCTGAAATTACAAAGCACGAAATCAAATGCCATAATCATGAAGAGCCTATTGCCCAATTCGTAATGGATGCCCTGGATACTCTTGGCAGCGGTGAAAGACGAGATATGAAAGGACGAAGACGACAGCAGAAAATAACAACAAAACAACGAAACAGCAGCCAGGTCACCGCTTACCAGCGACCACCACCGTTGTGGTTGCCGCCGTGGTGACCGCCGCCGTGGTGACCACCCTGCGGGCCACCGTAATAGCCGCCCTGCTGGTACTGCTGCTGCTGCTGATGTTGGTGGTGCTCGTCCTTCTTCTTCTCAACAAAGTGCTCGATGACATTCGCACCGATGGCGCCTGCCACGGCACCGGCAATCGTGCCCAGGGCACCGCCGCCGGCGTGGTGCGCGGCCCAGCCGGCACCAGCACCGCCGACCAGCGTGGCACCCAGGCCGCGCTCGTCCGTCTCGCCGTTGCCGCCACCGGGGCCCGCGGCCGGGATGGGGCCCTGGGAGCTGTACTGGGGCTGGCCGCCACCGCCCTGGTAGGGCGACGAGCCGCGGTTGTCCTGCTGCGAGGCGTTGGCGTACTGCTGCTGGGGCGGGCCGTTGTACTGCTCCTGGCCACCATATTGCGGCTGGCCACCGTACTGCTGCTGCTGGCCGCCGTATTGCTGCTGGCCGCCGTATTGCTGCTGGCCGCCGTACTGCGGCTGCTGGGGACCGCCCTAAATTCGAAAACAAAAACTGTATTAGCAAACTGCAGAAGGTGGTATGTACCATGTACGTAAGTGGTCAGCGGTGTTCAGCTGCTGGTGGGGAAGCCATACGTAAGACTGGCCAGAGCTGTAGCCCTGCTGCTGGTTGCCGCCGCCGCCGTAGTAGTCCTGAGCCGACATGGTTGCGGGATATGTGTGTGCGGTACAGTTGGTAGTTGGTTTGTTTGGTTGAGAGAGGAAGGTCGATGAAAGTGACGGTAGTGATGGAAGACGAAAATGAAATAAAGACAACGAGGGGTGAGAAAGGAGAGGGCGGCCACTTGGAATAAATACCAAAACAGCCAAGAACAGGAGGAAACGCCGGCTTGCGAAACTGGGGTCGCTAGTACCAAGCTGCCTTTTGCCTTGCCAACCCGTCATCGAGGGGGCCCAGAGAGGCAGAGCAGATTCGCCAGGAGCCACTAAGATGCGCGAAGAGGGGTGTCGCTGGTGGCAGTTCGATGTGGGCAGCGGCGCTGTGTGGCGCCTTGCGTGATGGTGAGCGAGGCAATGGAGCTCGGGGGAGGCTGCGTGTTACGTATTGGTTCGCGCGGCCAAGCACGATTTGATGGAGACGGAGGGGCAGCATCGACAGCCATCGACAGCCAACGAAAGGCCGCGAAAGAGAGCGAACGAGAGACAGCCCACCCTGTTGACCTCTGAGGCAACTCCGGGTCTCGCCATACAGGTTCAAGGGTCCTGCCATCTGGAGCTCGACCCCTCCACACCTTTCAGAGGGCAGCTGCGCTGTGACAGGGAAAGTGCGAATGAGGGAAGAACGAGCGAACGAGCGAAAGTGGGAGGACGCACGAGAAGGAACAATGGCGCCCGCTAGGCGTATTTTGTGGTCCTTCTCTTTCCGTTTTCCTCATTGCACCCCTCTCGCATCATCCCGCTTGTTTCGGGGCAGGAGCGACCCAACGGCCTGGCTTAGGCCAGGTACGTCGATTCTGTGCCCTCGAGTGACCTTTGTCTCTGCAGCCTAAAGATGCTGTGCAAGGCAAAACAAGGCGCGACGCTTCTGTGTGGCTGGCTGACAGGTTACAAGTCTACTGGTCTACGAGTACCATCTGCAGCGTCCACAGCCTACGACGCCCGTCCCGGCAGAGCCTTGCCGACGGAGAAACAGAAACGGAATGACAAGACAAAATAATAGGACATAATCGGCAAAGCGAATACGTCAGCGCGTCTTGGTATTCTGGAGATGCGGAGCACTAGATGGGTCTCTTGGTCGCTTGGCTTTGTTGAGTTCTCCTTCCAACAAGCAACAAAAGTATCTCCAGGGCGCCAAACAAGGGACATGGGCAAGGCCCCAGAGTCGGTATGTTTATCTCTGCCCAGCGTCTTACGCGCCTGGCTCCCTCCCTCGCCAGCTTGGATATGGCTATTTTGAGTTTATTTCTCTTTCGTGGGGACAAGCGGTTAGATCTCGGCTTGTTCCAGGAACCGCCAACAGGTCCCTAGCCCTTGGCCAAGAACAGGTGCCATTGTGCGACAGGCCGCCTGGCTGGTGCCCTAAATTGATAGCCTAGGCACGTACTAATACGGCGTATGACAGCCTTCGTATGGTCTGAACAGACTTCCAACGTATTTAATTCTTACTAGCGAAATGGCGAAATGGCGAATGGTGCTCAGCCGCGTCCAAGCCACTCGCGCATCCCGCAACGAACACACAAACAACAACGGTCGACTTGTTGACGTCAAACACGACTCGCCGAGTACACTTGAGAACGGCTCTTGACGGCGGCTCGTGCAGAGAGTTAATTGTTCCTATTGCATGCATACAGCATGCACTTGTGGTTGAACTTGCCTCTTTCGGCTCCTGCCTGTGTCGTATCTGCTTCTGTCCTGTTTTCGCATTCGGGTTGGCCCGTGGCACCACGTGGGTCGCGTCGGCCATCGCACCTTCTCCATCGACGCTTTCGATGGCCACCAGGACGTCGTGTGGTTATTCGGACAGATGCATAGTCTCCTAACATAATTACTGGGTACTTGTATATCGTGTAAAGAGACACAACAATGCTCTGCGGAGGTCCCACGCTCTGTCGGCATTCTCCCGCTGGTTGTTTGTTGGTCTCGGCCTCAGCCTTGCCGGCATCGTCCTCATCAAGGAACGCTAAAGCCAATATCAAAACTTGTTCCCAGTCGGGTCGAGATTGCTGTGGAGAGCGTTTCTTGTTTTCATCCAAATTACAAATATATATACAGATACTCCAAGCCCTTCATCCTTACAAATGCGGATGCTTCTCATTACGCGTCCGGCAGTACTCGGCCGCCCGGAAGCTCTGCGGCGTGCCGCCCAGGCCGTGCTCGCTGTGGCCCAGCACCTGGAAGGCCATGTTCATGCCGCTCGCCTGGTGCCACAGAATGTGGCAGTGCAGCACCCAGATGCCCTCGTTGTCGGCACGGAAGCGCAGGATGACATAGCCGTAGGGCGGCACGTACACGGTGTCCCGCAGCACAGGGTCGAGCGTGTTCATGGGTCCGCCACGGGGCGGCTTCCACGGTACAAAAAAGGGGTTGTAGTAGTCCCAGCCGCCGAGACCCTCGTGGCTGCCGACGACGTAAAAGTCGAAGCCGTGCAGGTGGAACGGGTGGCCCTGGGTGTCGATGTTGTTGATGGTGAGCTCGACCCAGACGGGCGCGGCGCCGGTCCAGGGCACGAGCTGGTGGCTGTCCCAGGCGCTGCGGTCGAGGCTGAGCAGCGGCCGCTCCTGGGGCACCCACATGGTGTGGTTGATGTAGCCCTTGGGGATGAACTTGTTGTGGGACAGGATCTCGACGACGGCAAAGATCATGTAGAGCTTGTCCGGCGCCGGCAGCGGCGTGCTGAGGGCGGTGCCGTGGACAGTGCGCAGGTCGATGGCCCGGGTGGGCTGGGTGGCCTGGGTGGACGGCGGCGGCGAGGCGGCGCGCTGGACGGGTCGCGTTGCTCTTCTCTGGGTCGAGGGTGCTGCCACAATCGCAAACGTCTGCGACGGCGGGTCCTGCCAGTTGCCGACATAGTACTCGCCGTCGACGGTGACAACAAGCTGCGTGCCGTCGCCGGTTGCGCCGGCGTCCGGCCACGACAGCACATAGTCGACACGCTGGGCCGGGTAGACGACACCAATGGAGTTGGCCGCGACCGCCTTGGCATCGTCTGGCACGACCACCGGCAGCCCCCCGTCGACGGTCAGCACGTCGATGCGCGCGTCCGGCACGGTGGTCGAGATGCCCGTCAGAACGCCCACGTTGACCAGCCGCACGCGGTACCGCAGCTGCGTGTCGAGGCGCAGCGGTGGCAGCTCGACGCCGTGGCAGTCCACGGGCGCCGCCTTGGTCGCCCTGCCGCAGTCAAACGCGCCGCGGCCGTTGATGAGCACCGACCCGGGCACGGGCTCGTTGCCGTTGCTTGTGGGGTCCTGAAACTCGGCAAAGACCGTCTTGCCGGAGAACTGGTACCAGTCGCCGACGAGGAGGAGAATTTCTTTGTCGACGGCGGCGGCAGCGGCGGCAGCGGCGGTTGCTGGGGTGTCTGTGGGGGCGTGCACAACCAGCCCTCCATACAAGCCGTCTGCCCGCTGCATCTCCGAGTGCGAGTGGTACCAAAACGTGCCGGCCTGGTCGCCTGTCGGTACTTCGTACACAAACGAGCCACCATTGGCCGGGATCGCACACTGGGTGACGCCGACAGGGCCGTCCATGTGGTTGGCGCCACGCATGTGTAGGCCGTGCCAGTGCAGCGACAGACCTTCGTCGACCAGCGAGTTGGTGACGGTGACGACGAGAGTATCGCCGGTGCGGGCCTCGATCGTTGGGCCGGGGAACTCGCCTGGGATGTGAGTGTTATGCATCGACAGAGAAAGGAAGTGTGTTGTAGGCGAACGGCGTACCATTAATCAAAATGACGTCCCGGAAGACACCGTCGGGCGCAATGCGGCTCTTGGTGATGTTCCACGACAGACGAATCGTCTGTGGCTCACGGTTGGTATGGTCCTCAGGGTGGAGGACGATGACGGGGTCTTTTGCCGTAGGGCGTGCTTTGGGAGCGTCTGTATCGGTGTCATACGCCGGCATGGACAGGCTGCCGCCGGTGAGGAGAAGAAACAGGGCTATCACGACAGCCAGGGCTGTGAGTATGGCCAAGACCGGCATGACGATCTGGCGGACGGTGGCAAGCGCCCGGCACAAGCGCTGCCATCGCGACGGCGGGCGGCGCGATGCCGGCGGCCATTGTGCTTGTTCTTCGTCGCTGTCAGAGCCGGTCTCTTGTGCGCCAGGTCCGTCTTCGCCCGCTTTCCACTTGTGCACGTGGTCGAGCGGCGGTCGGAGCAGCCGGTCGCCCTGTTCGGACGTGTCGTCGGGCATGTTGTGCCCTATGCTGTCATTGTAGGCAAGCAACGAGTCATACGGCCAGAAGAAGTAGCCAGTGACTACCACAGACTTCTGTCAAAGTCGTTCGTCACTGACGCCGGTTTCAAGTGAGGAGCTGGTGTGAAATGGTCCGAACTCCGATGTAGGCCAGTACAATGCATCAACATAAAACAAAATAAAATGGCCGTCAGCATAAAGGACAAGGCTAACAGCAAAATAAGTGATACACAATATAGTCCGAAAAGCGTGACCAGCAACAAGACGAAGACCAGCCTCCTCTCCCTTCTCTATCTCGGGGTTCTCGCTCTCTTCTCCACCCTTATTGTCCCACTGTGTCAAGGACGTGCTCCGACATCCGACGCAACGGCATCCAAGAAACTGTCGTACCTGGTGAGAATTTAGACTATTTAGAGTCTTAGACTTTAAAGGGTTAGCTGCCTCTAGCCCTCATGTGTCCTGCGAGTCTTTTGGTCGTCGGTCGCCAAGAACGATCATAGAACAACGTTGGACCATGCAGGGCGGCAGTGTGGGTGGTATTCTGCATTCTGCAGTGGACGGTCTGCGGGCAAGGTAGCCACAAAAGCACTGCTGCAGGACATCTGCAGGGAGTCGGAGGACGACTACGATGTGCGTCGTTCTCTGTACAAACCAACCCCTCGAGGTAAGCATTGCGTAGAGCGTGTGCGTCGATCCGAGTAAACGGCCTAAAAGCTTAAAGTGGACTGCTGTGGCCCCGTGTAAGCTAGCAGCCAGTGTAAGTCCTTGTGCCATTCTGCCCAATGCAGCTTGTTGATTGGCCCACAGACTCTCAAGACAACCCCTGTCGATTTCGTTCGCAAGGTTCGACTGCCGATCGTCAACACGTGTGCTCAAGCGTCCTCCAGACTTGTCGAAATCGTGAACCCCGACAGCGCCGGCCGCAGTCGTACCCTTAAGCAGAGCTAGAGCGATGCTCCTGCAGCACTTGGACTGTTTATTGAGTCCTCTATCTCGTTCTGCTGACTTTTCGTTTCTGCTCTCTTTTTTCTTTTGATTCGCTTCTCATCCCGCTTGCTTATGTGCATCAAGGCGCTGACGACGTACTGTCCCTGCTGTATCCTGTTATTGTCCTTGAGCTGGAGACAGCACGCTCCGTCATGGCATTTGTGATTTCACTGAATCAAAAGCATCAAACTATCAACCAAGCCAAACACATCAACCAAGCCCAAACAAATCACTCATCCTCCTCGGCACTTGTTCGTCCGACGTTTTCTCCGTCTTTCTTGCCGGGGCTGCACTGCGGCTCTTTTTCCACTGCTCGACGTTTCTTGTCCTGCAAGCCACCCGCCTGCCAAGTCGTACCTAGCGCTGTGCTTGTGCACATGGCGTCTGACACGCACCGCAGCCAGCATCGTTTAACATGCTCTCGTACTTGCAGACCATTGATGAACTATGCGACATGCAACGGCGATGTCCATCTACTTGCCTGCCCCAACAACACGGACCATCAAAGCGGACACAATAGTACCAAAGGACCATGACCGTCAAGGATCCACTTGGACTGTCTGCTTGCCGGCTGGGTTCACTCGTCTCTTGTTCTTGCAAGCTCCGTATCCTCTCCGTTCACCTCCGCCGTCCCCATTGCAGTCGGGTATACCGGCACACCGGGCCACAACCTGCTCACGTCACATCCTCACATCCCTGCCCACGCTGCCTGTCCAGCCTCTGTGCACTTGCAGTCTGGCTTATTTCCCCCACTGTCTCGATGCTTGATCCTGGGACCAGCATGCGACCGTCCTTGAGTCCGTTCTTGCGTTCTTGTGTCTGGCCATTTTTCTGCATCTTGCAGTCGACGCCGTCTCTTTTTTTCAGTAGATTTACTGCTTTAGCTTGCAGAGTTCCATTTTCTGTCTTACCTCGCTCTCCACGAATGACACGCGTTGTATTTGCATCCTGCTCTCCTCCAACCTAGCCTAGATGGCGAAGTTGTAACCGCAATGGCATACCGAGTGTCTTCGTTGGCGTTTTCGAGACTTTGTCTTGTTTTGACCATGTTTTTGGTGACGTATTTCCGTCCAGACTCCGTGCTGTCGTCGATTCTGTAAACACGTGGGCATCTGTCCCAACGTCTGTCCTTGCTTCCGCGGTCCTTTGACGCTATCATGACGCCGGGATGAGAGTCCGATTGTTGCTTGCGTAGATTTTTCAGCATCGGCAAATTCCCACCGTAGAATGCAACAGAGGGGCCCCAGTCGTCGTGTGATGTCAGGTCGACTACATACTCCGTATGCACACGCACCCAGGAATCAGGCAAGCGAGGCGGGTCAGTCAAGTGGCTCTCAAGGTTCCAGAGGGGCTGACCGAGATCGCAAGAGGACAAATGCAGGTTCGTTCTAGAAATCGAGGATGTGGGGGTTGACAGGCCGTCTGACAGTGTGTGCGGTTTGACGTCCGCCATTAAGGCCGACATGGCCTGCTCCCCCCCCCCGACTCCATTACATTTGCCCGCATAGATCGGCACTCCAAACAAATTGTCGGGACAAGGGACGAGCAGGAAGAAGAAAACCGAATAAAATGACAATCTGATAGACTGGCAACAACAACTTTAGAGTCCACCTGTGCAGACAACTATAAGACGGTACCCGGATCGCCACCTCGCCTCGCGACTGTCAGGCTCTCGTTCCTGGCCCAAGCTCCTGCCGATCTGCCATTGTTCGTGTGTTCGTCCCAAGCTTCGGATCACAACGTGCAGCGTCCTGTGCTTCGCCACCTCTCACCATGCCTCTCTCCGGCCCTTCCACCATGGCCAAGTTTGCGGCCGCGGCCCTCCTGGGTCTGGCGGCCACCGCCGACGCGGCCAAGTCCCTGAAGGACATCAAGCACGTCGTCATGATGATGATGGAGAACCGTTCGCTGCAGCATGTACGTCGCCCACTTGATAGCAACGACAAGACAGAGTGTGGCCACTAACATCGCATCACAGTACTTTGGCACCATGGCCGGTGTTCGCGGTTTTGCCGACCCCAACGTCCAGATCAACCCCACAAACAACCTTCCCATCTGGTACCAGTGAGTCTCTTGCCCGCTCGCCCTTGTCTCTCCTGCGCCGTTCGGCTCACCTCTCCAGACCCGTGAGCACCCTCACCGACAAGGCCGAGTACCTGCTCCCCTACTGGCTCAACTATGAGAACACCGAGGAGGGCTACAACAAGAGCCAGTGCCTCTGCGCCGGCGCCAACAACTGGATCCCCACGCACCAGGCCATGAACCACGGCGCCAACGACCAGTGGGCCGTCATCGACGACCCGCAGTCCTGGGGCTACTTCAAGCGCCAGGACATTGCGTACCACTTTGCCCTCGCCGAGTCGTACACGCTCGCCGACATGTACCACGCGGCCATCATGTCCAACACCGACCCCAACCGCTGGTACTGGCAGTCGGGCACCATCAACGTGCCCGGCGGCAAGACGCCGCTCGGCAGCGGCGGCGTCGTGCTCGACGACAACCAGAGCAACGGCTGCGTCGCCACCAACCTCGACTGCCTGCCGCTGCAGTGGCCCGCCTTTGCCCAAAAGCTCGACGAGGCCGGCGTCGACTGGCGCTCGTACCAGGAGTCGTACAACTGGGCCACCAACAACGGCCTCTTTTACTTTGAGGCCTTCCAGAACGCCCCCAAGAACTCGAGCCTCTACCAGCGCGGCCTCGCCTTTGACGGCGACAACTCGCTCGCCGCCTTCAAGGCCGCCGCCGCCAACGGCACCCTGCCCGAGGTCTCCTGGTGCTTCCCCCCCGGCAACCTCCAGGAGCACCCGCCCTACACGCCCCAGGACGGCTCCTGGTGGATCAACGAGATTGTCAACGCCACCCTCCACGGCCCCAACTACGAGGACACCGTCATCCTCCTGAACTGGGACGAGGCCGGCGGCTGGGGCGATGCCGTCCTGCCCGTCATTCCGCCCAACGGCACGGCCGGTGAGTCCATGTTGCTGTTGTCGTGTCTTGTCGTCGTTTGCAGAGTTGCCGTTTGTAGAGTTTCTGTTTTGTTTTGCTTTCTGTTGTTTTCATTGTTTCCGCTCTTTCCTTTCTTGGCTACACATGTGCACCTTCCCATAACATGTGACCCACTTTTCCGTCGTGATAGACTTCGGCAAAGAGTCTGGATCGCACCTTCCCAGTGCGCCTGTTGCCTCTGTCGTCTTTCCATATTGGCCAATGTTGCCTGCTGTCCTTTATGTGTCTCCCTCGTCGCGTCTCGCGTCTGTCTTGTTTTCTCCATCACCACACATCCACTCCATTGATCTACTCCACACATCCGCTCCATACACGACGACAACAAGTCGTCCATGGTTTTATTTGTGCCCTCGTCTTCGGACGAAAACGACGTGCTCCAGGGTGAAGTGACCCTTGGCGAGCCAGTGGCCGCATAGCATGTCCCTACTGTGTTTTCCTGCTTTTTCTGTTTGTTGGCTCATGTTGTGCTGTGCTGTCGTATTTTCGTTTTCTTTGCTCCTCTCTCGATCGCTGAGCCCTCCATTGCAATTGCTTTCCCCCTGATTACGACTGACTTTGTTTTGAATCGCAGGTGAATACTTTGAGGACCCCTACGGTACTCTGGGATACACCTGGTCCGGACCCGGTGTTCGCATTCCGCTCATCATGATCTCGCCGTACACCCGTGGCGGTCATGTCTTTACTGAGCGTGGTGACCACTCTTCGATCCTGTTGTTCCTCGAGGAGTGGCTGGCTGCCCGCGGCTACAAGGGCCTTGACACCAAGGACACCATGTCGGACTGGCGTCGCGAGCACGAGTCGAACCTCGTCAACGCTTTCGACTTTGAGAATGTGAGTTGATTTGTGTGGATGGTGACGTCCATGTTGAGGAGGCCCGCGTTGTCTGCTACGGATCCTCTGTTGACTAACACGACATTTCTCTCCCTTTGTCCCAGCCCGACTTCTCGATCCCTGACCTCCCGGTCCCAGAGACTCCGATCCAGGACAGTGAAGGCCACCTGCTGGGCCTGTACGCTGGCTACTGCTCCAAGGTGTTTGGCACGAGCTGCTCGAGCAGCGAGTACTACCTGCCGTACCCGTACGGCAACCAGACGGAGGAAGAGTCGCTGTACTTTGAGGACGGCTTCAAGGGCGTGCGCGGCTACCTGACGGAGGGCCGGTACCTTGTGTTTGAGAGCAACGGGTACGCGCTGACGACGGATGGCAACAGCAAGCAGTTCACGGCGAAGAAGGCGACGGCGGGCCACGAGAAGATCCAGCAGCGGTGGGTGCTGCACGCGCTGGAAGAGGAGGGCACGACGTTCCACATCCAGAGCGCGTCCAACAACTACTACATTTCGCAGCATTCGTCGCTGTCGATTTCGGAAAGCGGCGCCGAGGTGTACAACATCACCTACATGGGCAACAGCCAGTACAAGCTGCAGAAGGAGAACGGCGCCTACCTCAACATTGACAGCGACGGCAACCTGTCGTTCACGTCGACGCCGGTGGGCTACAACGTGTACAGTGTGACGTACCACTCGTAACGCGTGGTCAACTGCATGCTGCCCGGGGGCGTCAAATGAAGTCGAGAAGAACAAATGGGGCTGTGACAGGAAGACGGAGGGATACTGGAGGAGAGACTGTGTGAGACGGGGCAACCTGAAAGTACAAAGGAACATGGAAGCACCATAGCTGTAGTTGGATGCACACATAAATAAGATAATAATTCCTTTACGCCCGCCATAGTGATCATAGTGGTGATATCCGCCCATGGTATCCAATTCGTAATCATTACAAATACAAGTACAAGCCGTTCTCAGCCCACTCGACTTCCCAGGAACTGCTGTTGGCGTTGCTGCTCGACATCGTGCGCCCCGCTCGTGGCCATCCACAGACTGCCGGTGCGGCTGGCGCCGGGCGGGTTGGTGTTGACCGTATTGACGGTGTTGACCGTGTTGACCGCGGTCACGGGACTGCCGGTGCAGTTGGTGGTGGTGCCCGTCGCGTCGGCGGTACACGTCGCGTCGGCAGTACACGTCCGCGGCTCGACTTGGACATTGGACGTCTCGCGCATGAGGCTGTCGAAGAAGGCCATGTCGACGCCCTGGAAGGCCCACGGGTCGGCGGCGCCAATGATGCTGTGCTGCTGGGCGGTGTGGTGTGCGCTGTGGTGGTTGTGGTGGTTGTGGCTGTTGCTGTTGTTGTTGTTGCTGCTGCCGCTGCTGCCGCTGCCGTGGTTGTTGTTGTTGTTGGCAGTCGTGGTGTTGGCGGATGCACCATTTGGGTAGAGCAGGCCGACGGGCGGCTGGTTGGACGCCAATGCATCGGCGTCATTGAGACAGCCGGGGAAGGGTGGCGGCGTGTTGACGCCGACGTCCGGGACGAGGCCGAGATGTGTCGGGTGTTGTTGGGGGTGGACGGCGAGGGATTGCATCTGTTGTTGCTGCTGCTGCTGCTGCTGTTGCTGCTGCTGGCCGTCCGACATGAGCGGCACGAGCCGCGGAATGACCATGTCTTCGCCGTTGGCGGCAGGGAAGGCGGGCGAATCCTGCGGCGGGTGGGCTTCTTTGGTGATTTCGCCGTCGCGGGCAATGGTGATGAAGCCCACATAGGGCACGGAGATGCGGAGTTTGGCGGCGTGGTGGGCCTTGTCGGGTCCGTTCGCAGCGGCGCCGGTGGCTTCGTCGCCGGCGCGGTCGGGCGCCAGCCCCAGCCCACCAGAACCGTCCGCAAACGTGCCCAGCAGGCCGCCGCGGCCGGTGCGGTGGCACAAGGACTCGAGGGCGCGGCTGGAGCCCATGGCGGTGTCGGCCTCAATGTCCATGAGCTGGCGCAGCAGGTCGACGCTCGTCTCGCTGATGGTGTCCTCCTCGTTGAGCCGGGCGACGAGGTCCATGCTGTCCAGGGCCTCCTCCATCATGGCGCGGTCGGACAGGCGCTGGTGGGCCAGGACGTTGCTCGCGGGGCCGTGCTGGGCGGTGTGGCGGTGACCGTCGATGTGGACGAGGATGAGGGTGAGCGAGGCCATGAGGGCAAAGAACTCGAGCAGGCGGCAGCAGCAGGCGGACTGGTTGAAGCTGCGGAACAGGACGTAGCGGCTGAGGACCTCGCGCGAGGCGCCGACGGACGCGACGCGGCTGTACTCGAGGCGGCGCTGGTCGGCGGCGGACAGCGGCACGGAGGACGAGGGCGGGTGCAGCATGTAGGGCAGGTGCAGCTGGTTGAGGATGTTGTAGTACAGGACCTGGTTGGTGAGGCGGATCATCTCCCAGACGCTCTGCTCGTGGTCGCCCGGCGGGACGGCGGCCAGGTTGGGCGCGAGCCACCAGCGGCTGGGCAGGGTGGCGGCGATGCGCTGCATTTCGCGGTCGATCTGCTCGGTGATGGAGTGGTCGTCGAAGCGGTGGCCGCGGTCGTTGCGGTCCAAGATGTAGCTGGTGATCATGCTCAGCTTCTGCTCGAGCTGGCCCATGGGCGTGTCGTTGCGCAGCATCTCGTTGGAGGCAATGGGCGCCTCGAAGGCGGCCTGCGGCAGGCCCAGCAGCAGACACAGGAAGCGCTCGGCCGACAGGATGCGGTACCACAGGAACTGCGGGTCCAGGCTGTGCGTGCCGGTCAATGACGCGGAGAGCGACGACGGCATGGACGACGCCGACGACTTGGACGAGGCGGCCGCCACGGTGACCGAGGACGCCGGGTTGCGGTGCGGCCGGCGCGGGATGCACATCAGCTGGGCGAGCGACAGCGCGCGGCGCCACGTCAGCCAGGCGCGGCGCAGACGGCCCGCGTTGCCGCGGTACATGGCCTCGAGCATGATGCACTCGAGGCCGTCGAGCGTGTCGAGCGTGTCGATGAGCTCGTCGTTGGCGTTGACGAGGCGCGCGGCCGTGTCGCCCAGGCGCGTGATGATGCTGCGCACGGGTTCGGCGAGGTGGCCATCCTCGAGCCCCTTCTGGGCCAGCGGGTCCGAGTTCTGCAGCACCATGGCGATCAGCAGCATCTGGCGCGCAATGACGACCGGGTGCGTCTGCGGCGTGTGGCGGCTGCGCAGCTCGGTGGTGGGCCAGAAGCCCGTCTTCTGGATGTCCTGCTGCGAGCGCACGACGATCTGGTAGTAGTTGTAGCCGGTGTGGCCGTAGGCCGCGATGAGGTCGAGGTCGTGGGGCGCGGGGAGCGCGGCGAGGAGGGCGGCGGAGATGTCGGCGAGGGCGAGGCCGCCAGCGGCGCCGGTGGCGGAGGCGCCCTTGGCGGACGACGTGTCGCTGGCCGGCGTGTGCATGTTGCTGACGGCCGTCGCCGACGACGAGGAATACGACGACGTCGACGTGGCCATTGTGGCTGTGTCCGGGGAGCCGTCCCGGCTCGGGCGATGGTTCGGATGTGGTGGGAGTTGGGGGAGTTGGGGCACGTGCTGGGATGCCGGGCTCTGCCCGTTGGCCGACTGCTGGGACTGATGCACCAGCTGCTGGATCATGGCCTCGACGCGCACGATGCGGTCGCCGACCAGGCGGCTCTTGACGGCCGGCGTCGTCGGGTCCTCGGGGAACTCCTGGCTGACACACGGCAGACAGCGCTTGGCGCAGCCGATGCAGACGGTGTCGCCGGCGTTGGCAAAGGTGCACCGGACCTTGCGTCGCTTGCACTCCCAGCAGGTGTGCGTGCCCTTGCGGACCTTGCGGCGCTTGGGCTCGGGGCTGTCAGCGGATGCGGATGCGGCCGTGGTGCCGCTGGCCACTGTGGACGGGGGCGCAGGCGGCGACGACGACGTGGGCCTGTCCTCCATGGTGGGTGAAGGGGAAGGGGATGGGGAAGAGTGGATCGGAGTGGCCAGCAATGCGAGACGGCGGTCGGTGCGACGGGTGAGCGAGGAGATGCAGGATGATAGCAAGGGTGATTAAAAATACGAACAAAAAGACAAAAGGCCGGCGCAAGAGCAAGGGATGTGTTGTATATTTCGTATTGGATGATGTGAGACGGGCTCGGCTTGTCTTGTCAGCGTACATGTATGAGACGCTCAGCGGCCATATGACCAGACGGCACGATGCAGCGGTCGTCCAAGACCGCCTTGCAGCTCGGATGACGTGAGCAGAATAGAGAGACGATCATATAACGACAAATCGAGCACAATCAACGGCGGTCGAAGAGTCAAAATTGGCCGTACAGTGATGTACTTTGTCGATGTCTGTGTAGAGCAGGCCGCCGTCTGTCATATGTGTCCGACGGGCCAGTTGTCGCACTCAGTCGCACTCAGCACTCACACTCGCCGTGTCGAATCGTGGGTCTGCCGTCTGAAGTTTCAAAAGCCTCCAGCTTCAAAAGTCTCCAGCTTCACGGACTTGTTTATTTTGTCTCCGTTGCGAGATTGCGTGTTAGTCGGCGTCGTCTTGCCGTCTGGAGCCCTGCGCCTTGCGTCTTGCTGCCTTCGTTATGCCGTCGGTCCTTACACAGCGTAGCATGCGTGTTCGCCCGAGTCCACTGGGTTCGGACAAAGTAAAGTAGTCAAAATAGAGCGTAGCGACGGACGACGTCGTACGGAGTCCGTTGGAAGAGACGTTGTGGATGCAACCCGTTGCGGATTGGCTGATTAATGAGGCGCCAGGAAGGTGCGACGGCAGGCAGCGTGCTGTCCAGAACGGGCAGTCGTTCGCCCGAACCAGAGAAGGCACGACCCACAAGTATGTAAGCAGGCTGGGCGGCCGGCCGTGTTTGATTCGCCTCTTTTCGCATTTTTTTCGCCGAACGGCGGACAAAGAATGGTGGACGCAAATAAGATAGTGCACTCGGAAGGTCCCAACCTCGACACAACTCCGACGAGGGCTGGCCCAAGGCGAAACGCTACAGTAAGCTACAGCGGTTAAAAACTGGCGAATCCTGCCCTACGACCTCGCTCGGCTAGGCCTGGCCCCCAATGCACCCGTCCTCCATCCACTACAGACACTCGCTGGCCAGGCCCGTCTTGCGCGCCATTCCATGCCAATTCCGTGGCCCGGCCGGTCAATTCCAAAACGGGGGTCAGAGAGTGTAAGCGTGTATGATCTAAGATGGGCTCGGGCATGGGTGTCCGAGCCACTGGTGTGGTTGGTGGGCGTGTACTTGGCAGGGCGTGTACCTGGCAGGGCGTGTATTGTGTATTGAGTGTTGAATGTTGAGTGTCGAGTTGTGTCTTTTTGATTGTGCCCCTGGAGATAAGATGATGTTGTAGTGTATGTTGTACGTCGAACGGCAAAAAGGATGGCAAGCCGGGCAGCCAAGATGGCTCAATGTCCAGATGGGGCAGAAGCCCGGATCCCACAGACGGGCTGGTGCATTCAAAGCACAACGTAAGATGCACAAGTGAGACGATGCTCACCAGCCTATCTCAGTCATCCGCCAGGCAAGCGTGTTTGGACGGAGCGTACGGGGTTCTCAACAGCCCGCGCCCATAACTCGACTGAGGCTACACGGCTGTTGCTCGATGTCGGTGGGCATAAGACCACTGCATGCCATGCTCCATGCTCCGTGGATTCTCCATTCTCCCGCAAATATGGTGAAGCGTTACAACGTACAAAGTATGCTTTTTGGTCGTGTGGTGGCGCCAGCGAGAAACGAAGCAATAAGACGGAGGACATGGAGAGTCCGAGTCACACCCAAGCTGACAGGCAAAATGTGTAGACACGATGTAAAGCAACAACATGGTAGCCGGGAGTCGGCAGCAAGGAGGCACCAGGCCGTATAGTCGTGCTGGATCATGATAATGGCTTTTGCAGGCGAGCGATACCATTCTGATGCGATGCCATCGAGACAGACTCGACCAAGACACATCGTCAACATCTTCACAGCATGGACACGACAGGCTTCGTATTTTCTGTCCTTGGCGTCGCTTCTCGCTTCCCGTTTTCCCAACCAACTTCCCTCTTCACCCTGGACAAGTGCTGACGGACATAAGGTGAGATGCCCCGTGCCAAAGCCCGGCTTTCGGCCAATGGTGTCCGGGTGCCTCGCTGTGCCAGCGTCAGCACAGTCGAAATGGGTCGACTGTCCACCATCAGACGTGTGAGACTGCTCAGGAGGCCTTTTTGTAGGTGTCACACGCGTGTAGAACTGTTATTGGGTAGAGGGTGATCAAGGCCTAATATCCAACCGTCAGTGTCGCAGTGTCTGACTCCATCTCGACAAACGACTGTATCACATCAGCAGGAGCATGAATATTAGCAAGCAGCGAAATGTCGTCTCCACAACGAGTTCACTGCCAACAAAACGCTGCAAGGAAATGAAGGTTTCAAAATGGCATGGTAGTTGTTATTGTCTAATCTGAAAATCTTCAATAAAACAGGAAACAATGATGAGGAAACATGGTAGCCAAAAACGCCTGCCAGGATGTTTTTATAATCAGTCTATAGTTGGTACTTGAGAGGTAAAACGAGTGAATGGTGAATAGCCGCCCCATCGTCTTCCCTATTATGTCGCTGGCGATAAAATGCAAAACCCAAAATCCTATGTAAACAAGAGCTGTCTAAAGACAACCAAGCACAGTATAAACAAAAAATGCCGGTGTTGGAAACAAAAGGAAAAGGAGAACAAAGGGAAAAAGAACAAGAATTAGGGAATAATAAGGTAGAAGGACACGCTTAAAACGCGAAATAGATTATTGTAGAGAAGGTATATTGAGACGATGAAAATGCCAGAAACCATGACCGGTAAACCAGACGCCAGGCAGGTGTTGTAAAAAGTGAAAAAAAAAAAGCGTCGACCTCTTCTTCCGCTCTACGCAGCACCGGCGTTCATCAGGGCATCCGGGTTGATGCGCTTCCAGTTGCTGGCCAGACTGACCACGAAGGCCGAGCCCACACCGGCAATGGCAATGGCAAAGGAGATCTTGAGACCGGACATGTACGCCCGGAGCACACCGGGCAGCACGTCCGGCGGGAAGGTGGACCACAGCTCAGTGGCGCCCGTGGCAATGACCTGCATGGGGTTGACGGTCGGCGCGTACTTGGGCAGCTCGTTGACCATGTGGTTGACAAAGGCGGACTGGGCGGCCGACAGCATAAAGGCGCCGCCAATGGTCTGGAAGAACATGATGAGGGCGGTCGTGGGCGCCAGGTCTTCGTTCTTGGCGGTCGCCTGGCCGTAGATCATGGGGATCTGGAAGGTGTAGCCGAAGCCGAGGCCGGCGAGGACCTGGTAGCCGATCCACTTGCCGCTGCCGGTGCCAATGTCCAGGGTGTACAGCAGGCCCGTGCCGACGACGGCGATGGCGGTCATGGGCGGCAGGAAGGGCGTGGCGATTCCCGTCTTGGAGATGATGCCGCCCGACAGAATGGTGCCGATGGTGACGGCGATAATCAGCGGCAGGTTGCGCACGCCAGAGGCCGTGGGGCTGACGTTGTCGATGCTCTGGAAGTAGATGGGCAGGTAGTAGATGAGGGTGAAGTAGGACGAGGCGAAGAAGAAGGCGAAGACGGCATTGGGCCACACGTTGCGGCTGGCGACGAGGCGCGGCACAATCATGGCGCGCTCGCCGTTGTAGCGCTCCCAGAAAGCAAAGATGACGGTAATGACGACAAAGGCGACGAGCGGGCCGATGACCTTGCCCGAGTTCCAAGGCGCCGTCTGGCCGCCGTACTGCAGCGCCAGGATGTACGAGATGACGCCGCCCATGACCAGCACCGTGCCGACGGGGTCCATCTGCAGCAGCTTCTCACGCATGGGCGCCTCGACGGGCTTGGCGCGCGCGGGCGTCGTGAACAGGAACAGGATGATCAGGCCCGAGATGCCGCCAATGGGCAGGTTGATGTAGAAGCACCAGCGCCACGTGACCTTGTCGGTGAAGGCGCCGCCAATCAGGGGACCGATGACCGAGGCAATGCCGTAGGCGCCGCCGATGAGGCCGGTGAACATGGCGCGCTTACGGGGCGGGGCCGTCACGGCAATGACGGTGTACGAGCCGGAGCCGATGCCCGCAGCGCCGAGGCCAGCAATGGCACGGCCGATAATAAGAGCCTTGGAGTTGGGCGCCACACCGCAGATCAGCGAGCCCAGCTCAAAGATGGCAATGGACGCGAGGTACGTGTACTTGAGCGAGAAGTACTTGAAGGCCTTGCCCCACGTGGACTGGAAACCACCGACCGTCAGGAAGAAGGCAGAGCCGTACCAGGCCACGTCGCCGAGGCCGTGGAACTGGTCCGTGATCTTGGGAATCGCAGTAGCAACAATGGTCTATTGGTCAGTAAAGCTCAGAAAAAAAAGGAGGTAATAGAAATATAAAAAAAAAAAAAGAAATAAAAAGAGGGCTAGATCCAGGTGGCCGCTTACAAAGTCCAGAGACATGAGGAAAATACTCAGAGCAAGAGCGAGGACGATGAAGCCCAACTTGGCGCCGTGCGGGTAGTCGTCGTCTTCGTCGCTGTTGGCGGCGGCCTGCGCCTCCTTGGTCTCGGCCGTCGCCTCAACGTCGACGTCACCGCTGTCGCCGCGGCGGTCCTTTTCGAGATCCGTCACGTCGCCCTGCTCGACGTCCGTCTTCTCTGCGTCGACCGACGTGTACGAAGCCTGTGATGAGGCAATCTGGTTGGCGCTGTGCGCCGTGGCCGGCACGGCCAAGGCACTGGATGGTGAAGACATGGCGTGGGTGTAGCTGATCCTGGTGTCGATGTTGTGTTGTCGTGCTGTTGTGTTGTTGTGTTGTGCTGGCAATGTTGATGTCGACCTGGCCTGTTGATAACAAGATAAGATGGCAAAGATCAAAAGACCAAAGATCAAATGTGAACAGATCGAATCAAGGTTGGCTTGGGAAAGAAAAGGAACGGAAAACGAAAATACACGATCGATCCCAACGGGACATGGGGACACAGATATATATGTAAATTCCTTTAGGATGCTTGACCGTTGAAACAAAAATACAAAAAAGAACAATAAGAGTAATAAAATCACTCCAGGGGGCGCTGTCCTATTCTTTGGATTTCCAAATGAGAGAAAATGAGCAAAGCACGGAGAAAGACACAACATAACGCCATAGCAAAAGGGGACATATTGGACACGCCCCCCCCCCCCGTTTAACATCCATCAATCTCACGCCTCAACCGGACGAAAAAGGGATCCGAAAAAACCAAGACAGCTACGGTCCACTTTGTAGAGATATCTGACAATGACAAACACGGGGCCAGCATGACAAAAGGATTGAGATGTAAAGGAGCTTGGACGGTTGTGCCGTAAGGCGTCAGCAGCGGCCGCCAAAGGAGACAGAAAAAGCAGCAACGGTCTAGTAAAATCCGAATCGACGGCCGAAGGAGGCGACAAAGAACGGGGGCGTGCTGGTCTGTTGGTCTATTTTCACGCCCGCCGGCCCAGTATTCTTATGTTCTTGTGTAAGCATGTCTGGAAAGGAGGCGAAAGGCAGCAGAATTGCGACGGCGTGCACGCACGGGTCGGTGAGATTGACTTTCGCGGCCTTGTCAGCAAAACGAGAGCGTCAGAGAACCCACAGCAGTCCACAGTCACTTTGGCAATCCACAGTTTGCCGGAGCAATTTACTCATTCTGAGCCAATCCAACACGCTGGACCACGCAGACCAGACAAACCACTGCCATTCGCGTGCCCCGACGCGCCCAGACTCGCAAGGCAGAGGGACCCACTGACGTGGATACCTGGTTGGTTGGCGGGTCGAGTTGAAAAGTTAGAGAGTTGACAGGTCAGAGAGTTGAAAAGTCAAAGGGCGGACGTCCAGAGAAGACATCGTACAACATACAAAATACTGCGGAGAACTCTCCGTACGCGACAGGGCTGTGAATCCAGGCCACTCAAGGAGGGCAATCACGACAAAGGGCGTCATCACATGAACGCAAAAGACAACCCATACGTCAGAGCCTTGGCTACCGAATAGGAAGATGCCGTATCGTAATTACGCCCTGTTTACAACATACAGCATAATCTTACAAAATACAGCACACAGCTTGGCCCTGCGGATGTACGGAGTATGGTGGACTTAACCATCGTCGCCTGTACTGTGGCCATGCACATTAAGTAAGATACACGTAGTCATGCCCAGGAGGATCAAAGCCCAAGGCGATAAGCCCCTTTGCCGGTCGGAGAAAAGCCTTAAAACCATGTAACAGAGATTTGCCCCGTCCCACGTTTTGTTGCTTTTTTTGTTGTTTTATCTATTCCTCCGATCCTGACCAATGCGGCGGCGTGGGTGGGCTCCGTTCGGTGGATGGCATGCGCTAGCACCAGCACTAGCACGCTGAAATTATGTCAGAGGAATGGACCCAATCCCTGGGCGACCATAGCGACGGGGCCCCTAGAAACCCGCTCCGGGGCGTTGTCTCAAACGTACAAATATGCTTGCAGTCTCTCGACCCGAACTTACGGCCGAAACAGGTTCCTTGCTGCGTTCCACTGTAGGCAGCCCTGCAAAAATGATGACAGATCAAAGTCGGCGAAAAACGAGCCCCGTAACACCGCCCAATTGTCATTGTCCATTGTCCTTTTTTTTTCTTTGTTCGTAGCCCTAGACACCAGAGTCATTCTCTGGATGACTGTCGCTCATTTTCCCTTTTCTCGACTCTTCTCACGCGCCTTCGTGTTTGTCTGACGGATTGCAGATGACGGATGACAGACGGCAATACGGGAGTAGACAGGTGACGGACGATCGCAGCTGTTCTGAAAGGCGAAGAAAGCACAATGGAGTCAGGCATCGGCAGTGCCTGTCTATGCTGTTGTCCATGTATTCACGATATGCCTCAGCCTTGACCCTCGCGCGTCGCAGTCTTTGACTCCCGTACTCCGTTATTGTCGGCTGGCTCACAGCTCCAGCCCGTGTTGGCGTCTGCAGGGTCCTTTTGCCGTCGGCGGAGACATTTGTTGGCACGTCGTTAAAGTCTCCGGTGTTAGCCAAACTCCGCGTCAGCATGTCATCACAGTTATGCACATGTTTGTTTGTTAGCATGTTGGCATGTTAGCATGTTGGCATGTTAGCCTCGTTCGTTATTGTTAGTCTTGCTCGGGCAGTTTGGCCTGTGTCTCAACTTCTTTGTACAAAGTATTGTTGTCTCGTATCGTTTGTCAGTCGTGTTCTTCTACGGTTTTCTTTCGTTCCGTTACCACCCTTTTCCCTTCAGACTTTCCGTTGTCCAGCGGCAAAGCGACGAACCAGTGCCCCAGCAACTTGAGCCTTTTCCATTCTACAAGCAAGCTTCTCTTGTTCGCCTCTTCCCATTTGTTCGCTTGCAATCTAGCGTCAGGTCCCGCCCGTGCACGCTCCCATCAAACGCCAAAAACGCCATAACACGTTATTTTTTTCCTCTTTGCCTCCATGGTCTTCACCGGTACATAACCTACTCGCCTGTACGAAATACAATATACTATGAGATAAAAGACCAGAACGCGTTAGACGGTGGAGAGGAGGGGCGTGTTGCTATCGGCGAGTTTCTGTTTTTGGTCCTGTTTTGTTCGGTCTTTTCTCATTATGAGTTCATCCGCACTTGTCCCCAAACACCATAACCTATGACTCCTCTGCCGGCCAGGCTTTGTAGTTGATTCCCGGCGGCGGACGAAGGAACGGGAGAAATGAAAGGGACGAGGCTGCATGAAGACGCTAGAAGTTTCTGTGACCACCAAATCTACAATGGTCATCGGCCTTGGGGTTGAGCGTAAACAATGTGCGTAAATACGGTGGGGGACAAACACAAAAACACAGGCACCTAGAAAGCCACCCGAGAAAAATGTGAAACAGCTTACCAGGGACTCCCAACAGAGATGCTCCATACAAAACGGGCATTGAACCCCGTGAACGAATACCTGGCCAGACGCACGGTGTCGCTTCTGGGCCATCGTAATCGGTTGCCGTTCCGTCCTACACACCACGGCTCTTCTTGCACATGGATCCACTGCAGCCCTTTCGTATTCGGGTAGAAGAGAATCAGAAAGCTGCAGTCCGACCCGAGGACGGCTGCACTGCTGGGCCAAGAAGCTTGCAATTGCATGGGCCGGTAATTACGCCGCGTTCGTTTTCGTGCTGGCGTAGCTTACGGGGCAAAGGACGGTTGCAATCGGGATTTGGGGCTGCAAAGACACACACCTTCACCGTCTGCACCCGATGTAAGATACACAGAGACCGATCTGCTGGATAAAACGAAAAGGCGATAAACGACAAAGACTGGCTCGACTTTGAGGCTGGTCAGATGCGGGAAGGCCCGAAGGCACGTTACTTTATGTGTACAACAAAGTAGGCTTTTTGAAAGAATTGTGTAGTAATGGGGGTCGGAGAATGAGGTACATTCCATGTATTCCTATATCTTGATTTTATTAGTATGATTTAGCCTTGAAGGTCTTGTATCTTTTCATATGACTTTACTGTTTTCATGTTCAGAGTTATCATCTGATGGGTTTTGTTCATCTCCTCTAAAAAAAAAATCTCTTTTCTTCTTCTTTCTCTCTCTCTCTCTTTCTTTCTTTCTTTCTTTTTTTTTCTAAAAAAAAAAACTATGATTCATAGGAGCAAGAACAAATAAATCACCATTTCATTTGACAGAAAATACCATGAATTTTGCGTAGGGTATACTATTTTTTTTCTTCATACGTTTTAGCAAATGTGCTTCAACACACCGTCGCATCACTATAGCATCACCACAGCCGCCCTTATCCCACCATCCAATCATCCTCCTCTCAAAATGGCGACGGTCCCTTCACCAGCACAACTCGGTAGCCGTCCGGGTCCTCAAAGGTCTTACCGCACGCATCCCAATACGGGTTGAAGGCCGGGACGGGCGGGAAGCCGGCCGCCGTCAAGCGCGCCACGGCCGTGTCAAACACCGCCGCGTCGGCCAGGTAAAAGACGAGCAGGTTGTCCTGGGTGGGCGCGCGGCCGGCGTCGTGGCCCGCTTTGGCTGTGAACTCGAGGTGGTAGCCCGCCTGCGCCAGGCCCAGCATCACGCCGTCAAACCCGTCGTGCCCATTGAAGCGGAAGAGCTCAGAGAAGCCCAGGCCGTCGACGTAGAACGGCAGCAGGGCGTGGATGTCGTTGGTGGGCCGCGCGATGCGGACATGCGCGGATGCGAGGGCCATTGTCGGTTGGGGGAGGGCGCGCAGGCAATGTCAAGGCTGACGCTGATGTTCGGTCAAGAGGTTTAGGGCGCGGTGTAGGGTTTTTGTAGAATGCGAATACGGAATACGGACAACATGCGCTGTTGCGTTATGTGGATGCGGGGACGACCGGCCGTTCCAACAAGGTTTCTCGCATTCGGCTTCGCTTCGGAATACGACGTCTCGGCGGCAGATGCCAAAGGGCGCGACCGGCCGCTTAGAGCCTTTCCCCAAAATGGCCAGTGGGGGGAACGCCTTTGGTGCGACAGCCACCCAGCAGCGCAATTCTCCCAGCGTGTAGTATGTGTCGTTCAAGGATGCCGGCATCACGATCGTGCGCGCTTCGATGCAATTGGCATCAACATGTAGAATAGAAAATCATTCGCTATGCAAGTATGGTGGCACCGCCTGCATTGGCCCGCATGCCCCTGTGCTGCCCCCGCTGTCTGTGTCCCCTCTATGCCTTCGTCTCCTGTGCCTTCTTTTCCTTTTTGTTCTGCATCTGCAGCCGCTTTTGGGCCTTGCGCACATCCCGCTGCACCGCGCCGATCACGGCCTGCTCGCGGCCCACAGGCCACCGCGCCGCCGCTGCCGCCTCGTCCTCGGCCGTCCACGCGCGCGGAAGCACCGCAAACACCAGGTACGACGTGTGCGTCTTGACCTCTGGCTCGACGCGTGTTGTTAGGCGGCCGTCCAGCCACGCTTTGTGGGGGGCAACGCCTGCGGCGCGGGCTCCTCTTCCTTGGCCTTGTCGACGACGTCCATAGCGTCGGCGCCGGCGCCGGCACCGGCACCAGCACCAGCACCAGCAGTGCCAGCCTCCCGCGACTGCCAGAACCGCTGGTTGTACTCGCGTGTGCGCGTCTCAATCGCCTTGAGCCGCGCCACCGCCTCGCCCACGTCCCGCGGCGCCGGCACATTGTTGCCGCCGCCCACGCCCGCGCCGGCCCCGGCACTGGCCTTGCCGCTCACCAGCTCGGGCCGCTCGCGGTACACCAGAATCTTCTTGTTGGCCACCTCGACCATGTCAATGTCCGTCCAGCCCAGCCGGCGCAGCATCGACACGGTGCGCGTGACCTGCTCGATGCAGGGACTAAAGGTGCAAATGTGGACGCTCTTGCGCGGGTGGAGGGCCGACGGTCTGCCGTCGGCCGTGGCGGCACGCGTCAGGTGCTGCAGGGCACGCCACGGTGCGGGCAGGTCCAGGAACACGGCGTCGGCCTCGGGGCTCGTGCCGTCGTCCAACAAGAAACCGTGCCCGTACACGTCGCGGTTGGTCAGGGTGACCAGATCGTCCCCGCCCTCCCCCGAAAGCCCGTGGCTCTTGAGCTCGGCCTTCATCTTTTGGTACCGCTCGTTGTGGAACTCGAAACTGTAGACGTGGCCCGGTCGTTTTGGCGTCGCCGCGGCGCCCTTGGTGGCGGCTGTCGACGTGCCGTAGACCGCCCGTGCGGAAGCATGGGTAAAGCTGCCGCTACCCGAGCCGGCCTCGATGAGGTGCGTGCCCGGCCGTGCCCGCAGACGGTGCAAGATGTAGCTGTAGTCGCTGGCATATACGACCTGTGTGCGGTGCGGCAGGCTGAGCGTCCAGACCTCGGGCGTCGGTGGCAGGATGTGTACGAAACCGCTCGCGGCGGTGGCGAGTGGTGGCGGTGGTGGTGGAGGACGGGTGGCACCAGTCGCTGTCGTTGCCGTTGGCGTCGACGGCGTCGTCGCGGCTGGCGTGTCGGCCGGTGTGCTGTCTTGTGGCGTCGCTGCCAAGGCGGCATCTCCTCCCAGGCTGCCCGCTGCCCGCTTCCGCTTCCGACCGCGCGAGCCCGTGTCCACGATCGACGCCCGCACCTGCGAGCCCCAGGGCACACCAATCATGGTCGAGTGCGGGAACGAGCCAAATCGTGTGTTGAGCACGGCGCCCTCGGCGTAGCCGTCGACTTCGAGGCCCGCGGCATCGTGGAGGTAGATGGGCTGGTAGTTGTCGCGGGAGAGCTGGACGATTGCGAGGGCATCGGAGCGGGTGCACGGGCCCGGGTCGAGAAAGGGGGAGGAAGAGGTCGACATGTTGTGTGGGGGGAGCAGCCGTGTCGTTCGTGTTATGGTGCGTCGGGTTCTGTTGAACCACAAACTCAATCAACTGTCTCGAAAACTTTTTAGTGGAGCTGTTCACGGCATGCAGTGCACGATAAGAAGGTACGATAAGAAGTCGCTTTTGGCGTACTTTCACGTGATCAAATACGGCTTAGTCATTTAATACCATAGTGCTGAAAGTGGGGCTGGCTGACGGCAGCCGATGACGTGGTGGTAGTGAAACGCCGCGTCTTTGCGTCGCGCTCACCGAACTCGTAGCTTAGCTGGTCTTGTCCGGTTTACCCCTCTTTGTCCCTGACCATGTCCCCTGAATGCCCTGACCCCTCCCTGACGACGACGCTGCCCCTGAACCATTGTAGTCGAATTCTGTAGATTTACGTGGTTCGAAAAGACGCCCAAGCAGCAGTCCGATTAACGATGACGAGCGCGAGCTGTTTACGACTAGCAAAGCTGGTGACGTTGTGTCACAAGACGCGAATGCTGTGACATATCCTACGATTGGGAGCGACGAGATGACAGCATTGGAGCTATGGGAAGATCGGGCTTTGCTTGGCATCTGCAATGCTTGGCAACTCCATTTAGAATTCACATTCACATCACAAACACGTATTTCGTGGCCGTTTTAGTTGAATTGCTCGTTCAGAAACAGTCTGACGGCCAGATGGTAAATCATCCAAATTTATTTCATTTCAGTTATTTCCATTCCTAAATGGCAGACCGTTCAACGTCATGCCAGCGTCGTACTAGGCAATCTAGTAGTTGGGGCCGGGGCGGTTGCTGTAGATTGTCATGTTAGCCTATGATGCATTGGTTCTCTCGGCCCTCGACGCTTCACTTACGGGTCAAAGTTGTCCTGGTTGCCGTACTGCTGGTCGTACAGCTGCTCGGCGTTCTGGCGGGCGTGGTGCTTGGCCTTCTCGCGGTCAATGAAGTCGAGGCCCTTGGTCTCAACCAGCTTGTCAACCTCAGCGCCGGCGAAGGCGGCAAGGGCCTCCTTGGCGAAGCCGTGGCTGACGGTCTTGCCTTCGGCGCGCTGGTGCTTCTCCCACTCGTGCATGGCGGCGAAGCTGGCACCGGCGCCCAGGAGCTCGTGGCTCAGGGAGCCCTCGTGGTGGTCGTCGTTGTTGTAGACCTGGTCGCGGGCATCGCGAGACTCGTCTGAGACGTGTTAGTGCATGTGCCCATGTGTCGATGTGTTCATGTCCCCTTGCCGTTGATGTTGGAGCTGGAGAAGGGTCTTACCAAAACCGAAGAAACCCATTTTGAATGTAAGGGGGTGGTGTGTGTAAAAGTGTTTGGTAGTGTAGTGTATAGAAAAGATGTGTGGATGAAGACAAGAAGAAGAGAGACAAGGGAAAAGGGGGGACGATGAGGGGGAGGGAGATGGACTTTAAATACCCATTGACTACAGAATACCTGTCGACTTGAGATCCCAAGCTTCACCCCTCTTTCGTACCACTTTGACGGACGACGAAACCGCGACCTGTTAGCTCATAGTTGCAGACCAAAAAGGTGGGCAGCACCAACTAGGCAGGAACGACTTGGAACATCGCAAGGAGGGAGGGCAGGAGGGACCGAAGAGACAACCCCACAGCCTGGCAGGAGAGAGCTTCTGCAGCAACGAAGCTGGCTCACCCCACATGCAAGTGGTGTGGACGAAACGAGGTCAGAAGAACCTCGTTGGGTGGACGGGCTGAGGCCGGGGGGGAGCGCATCGTTTCCAAGCCCATCCCTGTTTGCTTGCGCCGCTGGCCTTCATGCTTCGTCCTGCCCGGAAGTGTTTCGCGCGATTTCTTTTTTTGGCTCCTCACTCGCTCTTGCATCACTTTGCCTCGCTTGCATCACTGGTGCTTGCCTGCTCGTCTTTGTTTCCTCACCAACGGCAGGCGCGAGGAGAAGCAGAGACGGAGGTGGCGGTGCCTGCTTGCTGTCTCTTTGGCGCCCTCCTTTTGCCGCCTCTCTTCGCCCCGTTTCGTTTCGTCATTTCCTAGCTGATTGTCTGTCGTGCTGTCGTCGTCTGGCCATCCACAGAATCCCAGACCTGGGCCCCTCCTTCCCTCCTCGTTGGCCGCTGACCCTGCCCCTCATCCTCACCCCTTTTTACGTATTCCCTTCCTGATCGCGCCGACGCTTGTCCTTTGCTGCGTCGCTGGCGGCGTTAGTTCAACATCAGCCAGCGAATGCAGGTTGCAGCAACTCTAATTTGTCCTAGCATTGTCGGTGCTCAGTAGACCATTCCTGCAAGGAGAGCATTGAGGCGTTAAAGTTAACAATGGCAGAAAGGATACTTAATGTTTGCTCAACAGAAAGTACGTTCAAAGTCAAACCCTGATGGCAACGACAAGCTCCCCATAGCTCTCTTTCTTGGCTCCCCTCCTTTGCGCCCCCGATCTTCCTGGCAGCCCTGTCGCTTTGGTGCCAATACCCTGCCAAGAGGCCACCCGCAATGCTTGATTGTTCCAAGCGCGTCTCCGAAAGGTCACTGGTCAGCTTGTCCAGTTGTCCTCTGCAGCGTTCCTGTCCTGCCGCGCTGCCCATGTGGGGTGTTTGTTTCGTTGCCAAGAAACCTTGTCAGTTGGCACTCGCTTCAGTGGTTCGAGTGGCTACTTGATCAGGGCCATTGCCAAGCGATTTAGACTGCTGCGATGTGCAGTCTGATGTCGCCAGAAGAGGCAGCAGATGACGACGCAGCTGAGAGGTGTTGGTCAACCCTGTCAAGCCTGAGCTGCCGCATTGGATGCCATTGGAGAATCGATGGCCCCATCGTGTATGAAAGCTCTCGGAGGGGTCCAAATGGAAGGGGCTCGCAGGGTTGCACTCGACGTCACAGGCAAAGAGGGCTGTGGATTGGGTGAGTTTGGTCGAGTTAGAAGTCGATCTCACTGTTCCTAGTGTGCCGTATATTCCCAGCTTCAATTCCTTCTTTTGAAGCCAAGTGTGCAAGGCTCGTTCTGTTTCCGCTCAGAGCAGACGAACTTCTTTTGCATTGGCTCCGCTATCCTCCACTGCCTGACGCATACTGTCTATCGAGACCGCTCCACGTTGATCACAGATACAACTGCGAGATCTGGTCAATCGGGGAGGGGAGGGTCCAAAGAGACCAATTGACGACAAAATGCCCCGCCGATGATAGATGGCGTTTATGCTGCGGAGCTCGTGCTTCAGCTGGGCCAGGTCCGTCTCTTACAGTTTATCTACTAGGAGCTAGTTTAGTCCTATAGTACATCACATCCGTCTTGAAGTCTCCGTAGTGCCAGCGCCGTCTCGTTTCACAAGCCAACCATAGGAGTTCGCTGGTTCAGTAGTCTTTGAGGCACTGGAGGAACTCGCGATTGTTCCCTGTTTTGGTAGCTGTCAAGTGTTTAATTGTGATTTCTGTGCTCTTCTTCAGCTTTCCATGGGTCCGAGGTCCCACGGGTCGATGTGAGGGTCTGGCAACTGCCGATCCTAGATTCAAGGCTGCCACCTGGTGGTTGCACTTTGTCACTGTCCCTCATTACATCACGAGCACCTGAAACAAGCTCATGAGAGGCGTCGAACGCAGCAATTCATGGCATTTGCGGCGTGGGGTGAGCGAGCTTCGTGGCGGGCCAATGGGAACAGCACACGCCGGCCTTGCAGCATCTCCTTGCAGCATCTGAATCTGAATCCGAATCTGACATACATTGACTGCACGGCTGCTCCATCACGTCGTGCCGTTTCATGCGCCAGTGTCACTCCATGGCGTGATGGCATCTTTGGTGAAAGAAGGACGATGTATAGCACGTCTTTTTCATGGTAGCATCCGTCCAGAGGAGGCAGGATGCTGCGGCCGACCCCTCTTGCTCTTGCTTTCTTGTTACCCCTGGCACTTTCTCTTTACGTAGTGTGGTTCACAATGTGCAAAGCGGAAGGGAAGGCACGGCCGTCGATCAGCCATTGCTTTTCAGAACTCTTCGAGGATTCTTTCCCTTTCTGCCCCTTTCATTTCCATGGAAGCATGGCTCGTACGCAAGAGGCAGGGGCGAAGCACAACTGCCAGAGGCCGCCAGCAAAAGGGCCTCCGGCCGGCGATACGCGGCTGCCTCGTCCACGGACCTCGCGTCCCTCCACATACGAAAGGACATTGCATCACAGGCTACACCGTGAAACGCGCCCTGCATCCTCTCCTCAGTGTCGATTGGGTCTCGTTGAATGGTCCCACTAGCTCGTGGCTCAGTGTCGCAAGTGTTAAGCTCTTGAACGCGGTGGCGATGTGATACTATGTAGGTAATCCCACAGTGGAAATAGTCGAAAGCAAGTATAATTCAACTACCTACACAGTATGAAAATGCCTTCTATTTTTAGGAAACTTTATTCGTCTCCGACATGCCGCCTTCAGCTCCAAGTAGTATGTTGTAACTATTTTCCGCCCAGGGACACATGCAGACGTTGCCCTGCAACTAACGTTTCAATGCAGGACCAAAAAATAAGCTTTGGGCAAGCTCCGAGCAAGATTTGATGTGCCTTGTGCCTGTGTCTTGCTTCCAAGCTCTCTGACCAGGCACCGAATAGATTGTCTGAAAACTGTTCGAGTTCAAGGGAGCTACGCAATGGAGGAGTAAAGAAAACAGGTCACCTAGATGGCATTTTTGTATCTTTGTGTACCTCAGCCAAGGCCAACACGACAGAGGGCGCTGGATCCCCACTCGGCTGGAGACAAGTAATATTCGCACAGTCAAAGCACGACCCCAGGACAGTCATGCTCCACAGCAACCACAGCCTCGAGCTTATGCAGCATCGATATTCTTCTTTAATGAGGCTCCCTCCCGGGCAGGCTATTGCAGCCTCCAAAGCCACGCCGAACCTGGTGGAAACCAATGAATAAGGGAGCCTTAGGAGAGTGCCAGCTGGACTTTCATGTTCGAATCGAAACCTGCCACCACGCAAACAAATGCAATGGTCGACAGTGCTGAGATGTGATGGCACAACGCTCATGGCATGCGGAGACTGCGAATGTCTCATGCCAAGTTCGGTGTTGGGGCAATTGCCGCCGGTACAGTAGAGTTGCGCTGAAATGTATGGTATTGATGAAGATGTAAGCCGGCTATGTCTCTACCCGCCTCCTCTTGTCGGAACCACCGTGTCGATCTCGGTCCCGATCTCTGTCCTGATCTTGACTGTCTCGCCGGTCTCGTGATGGGGGAGACCGCTTCCTCCGCTCGTCCCTAGAGCTGCTGTATGGGTCTCGGTCGCGTCGTGGCGATCTTGATCTCGATGTTGGACGTCGACGATCTCTGTCATCTGCATCCCGTCGGCTGCTATCTCGATCGTCGCGGTATCGATCGTCACGCTTGCTGCTCGTGTGGGACTTGCGCTCACCCAGCGGAATGGCATTCGCACCTTTGATTTCACCATCGCCGCGGTCGCGGTATCCTCCTCCACCGCCACCGCCACCACCTTCCGCGTAGCCTGGACGCTCACGACCCCACGAGTCATACCGGTTGTTCTGGTTTGGCCGGTAGTCGTCCAGCAGCCCGCTGCCCCAACGGCCCGTGTCCTCCGACTTGAGGTCCCGGTACTTGGACGCGCCCTTCTTGCCCAGCTTCGTCACGTCGCGGATCTGTAGCGCCTTGGGCAGCAGGTCCGGGTTGCGGATCGCGTCCTGGTACCGCGCGCCCATCAGATCACGCTTGTCCAGGCCCTCGGCAGCGCTGGCATCCTGGTAGAAAGCGCCGTGGTGGTAGTACTTTTGCATGTAGGCCATCTTGCCGCGGCCTTCCTTTTCCTCGCGTTGCTTGGCAAGCAGGCCGGCGTCCTCGGCGTTGCGCTCTTCCTCGGTCAGGTTGCGGCGCCGCTCGAGCTCGGCAAGCTCCTTTTCCTTTTCTTCAATGCGCTCGCGCTGCCGCTTGATGCGCTTGAGCTCGCGTAGTTTCCACGCGGCGTACTCGGCCTCGGGGTCGACGTCGTCCTCGGTGTCGACATCGAGCAGTGCGGCGGCGGCCGCAGCCGCTGCAGCCGCTGCCGACGCAGCGGCCTCGTTGCCCTCGCCGTCCGAGTCCGACTCATCGGAGCCCGAGCTGGCCTCAGCCTTGGTCTTGGCCTTGGCCGCCAGGGCCGCTGCCGCCGCCGCCGCCGCTGCCGCCGCGGCAGCCTCGTTGGAGTCTTCCCACATCTTCTTGCTCTTGCTGGCCACCCGCGCCTCGGCCCGCTTGCGCATCTGCTCTTCGACGAGGGCGTCAGCCGCCGCCAAGCGTTCCCGCTCCGCCTTTTCTTCGTCGTGTTCGTCTTCGTTTGAGTCTGGTTTTGTCGCAGACGAGGCGGCGGCCGCCTTTTCTCGTTGTGCTTTTGTCATATACTTGGGCAGGACAAACTTGGGTGGTTGGAGGTCGTCGTCTGAGCTGCTCTCCTCGTCGGTGCCGCTGTCGCTTTCGTCATCGTCGTCCTCCTCGCTTTCGTCTCCACTCCCACTGTCGTCGCCATTTTTTGCATTCGTGTTTTGGGCTTTTCCATCGTCTTCGTCCTCAGATTCAGTGACAAAGCCCTCTTCGGCCGCTTTTCGTTCGAGCTCGGCGCGCCGTCTCCGCTGCTCGTCGTCATGGCTTATGACACTCGCAAGCGTCGCGTGTGTCACAACGCGTCCGGGCCCCGTCCGCTTCGGTGCAGAAGCAGTTGAAGACGCTGCTGGAGGCGGCCGCTTTGCTTTGGAGGCCGCCGTGGTGACCTGTTCGCTGCCGCTCTCCTCTTCCGACGACGAGTCCGAGTCGACGCCTGACGGTTTGCCTGCCCGATGCCGCGCCGGCCGCACGAGCCTGGTCATCGGTTTCGGCGGCATACTGAAAAAAGCTTGTGGAGCGTTCTCGATATGGGCGGCGACGTTGGGCGGTGTTGGCGGTGTGGTGCCGTGGATGTGGACGTGTCGATAAAAACGTCACAGACCGCAGTGTCCAGCATCTCACAATTTTAGTCCGCGATCAGCGATAAGGACTCACGGCTCCCTTATCAATAATGCAGCCCAACACTGTTGTAACCCACTGATCCATAGTGGCGTTAGTGTGCAATCCAGGCACTAACCACCACTCACAGCGTTCTGCCGGACTTTACAGCATTCTCACATGCAAGTCCAGGGACATCTTGTAACGTTCAAATGTCAACACAACGACAGAAAGTTGAGAATGTAAATGCGCTGCAACAGGATACAAGGGTATATTCAAAAGCTGCAATGACGTTTAAATGAATAAATTAAAAAAGTCTGTTGAGCGTGTCCACCCTGTTTTCTAGTTTCTGGTGACAAATGCAGGCTTCCACTTATACAGCAACGATGGTCTAGAACCCATCGCAGCGTATGCCGAATCCTTAAACGCTCGTGGACCAACATCTAGAGTGTTACACACCGGCATTGACGTGCATTACCCTCGTCATGTGCTAGCAATCTATTTCGAAATCTCGCAGTTTCAGAGAGGCGGGATTCTCCACGGTGTCTGGGTGTCTTGGCTAGGCTCGGCCGGCGATTGGATTTTTACCCCACCAAAAAGGCCGCCAACGGGTACTGGTCAGTGCCGAACGACATGCGCCCATACTGTCTACAAAATCTCTAGCCTTGCCGAAACAACATCCAACCACCTGACGAGAAACGCGTGTTGCTTGCAACGCTCCCAGCAGACAACAGTCTTGTCAGACCAAGACCATACCACCTCCGACCCCCCCTATACACCCCGCACACGACCACACGCCACAATGGCTTCTTCGGCCCCGACGACCGTCCGCGTCGGAACTCGCAGTTCGAAGCTGGCCGTTCGCCAGGCCGAGACTGTTGTTGCTGCCCTCGAGGCCGCCAATCCGGGAGTCAACTTTGTCATTGACGCTCGCGAGACCGCCGGCGACCGCGACAAGGTCACACCGCTGCCCAACCTGGGCAAGGGCCTGTGGACCTCCGAGTTCGAGGCCCGCCTTGTGGCCGGCGACCTGGACCTCGTCGTCCACTGTGCCAAGGACATGCCGACTGCCTTGCCCGCCGGCTGCATCCTCGGTGCTATTCTGGACCGTGAGGACCCCCGCGACGCCGTGATTTTCCCCGTCGGCAGCCAGTACACCGAAATTGGCCAGCTGCCCGCGGGCAGCGTTGTCGGCACCAGCAGCGTGCGCCGGTCTGCCCAGCTCAAGCGCCGCTATCCCGGCCTTTCCTTCCTGGACCTGCGCGGCAACATCGACACCCGCCTGCGCAAGCTCGATGACTCTGTCAATCCGAACCGCCCCGCCGACGCCCCCCGCTACGACTGCATCATCCTGGCCGCCGCCGGCCTCAAGCGCATGAAGTTTGACGGCCGCATCTCCCAGTACCTCCAGGACTCGACCTCGGGCACTCTGTACGCCGTCGGCCAGGGTGCGCTCGCCCTGGAGATCCGCGAGGGCGATGCGCAGACGCAGAAGCTGCTCGACCCCATCCTGCACAAGCCGACGACGCTCGAGTGCATGGCAGAGCGCGCCGTGATGCGCGCGCTCGAGGGCGGCTGCAGCGTGCCGATCGGCGTAGAGTGCCAGTGGAGCGGCGACGACAAGAGCGACCTGGAGCTCAAGGCGACCGTGGTCAGCCTCGACGGCCGGCAGGCGGTGAACTCGGCGGCCAAGCGGCGCGTGACCACAGTCGAGGAGGCAGATGCGCTGGGCCTGCATGTGGCGAGCACCATGGTCCAGATGGGCGCACAGGCCATCCTCGACGAGATCAACAAGAACCGGGTGCCGCCCCCGGCGGTTGTGCCGGCGCCGACGGCGTAGATGAAGAGACGCTGAATCAGAGGAGGAACCGTCCCCATACGCTACATACATGAACGTACTGCGCGATCATGAGTCACGAGGCTAGAAAATCGTAGAAGAAGGTCCCAAGAGGTTCTTTAGGACATGAAAAAATCGTTGTTGCATGTACGTTAGGTTTCTAAAATACAAATCCCCGGGTCATCGTTGAAGTGAGATTGCTCGCGCCATTGTTGCATCGTTTGGACGTGCATATGATTCATGGTTTTCGTTTTGTTTTCATAGGCCCGTCTTTCGACGTCGGCTCAGCCTTGGCTTTCCGTTTTTCGTTTTGTTCTGTCAGTCTATCTATCGTTTACCCTTGCTATCCAGCCTCACAATTGTTGAAATGGATCTCAGCTGTCCCACCAACGCAGTGGCACCAACGCCATTAAACGACCAAGAAGAAGATGGAAAGAAAGGTGATGCATTCGTACGCCGGGTCAGCCTTCGCCGTCCACTCTAGTGGTCCTCCGATGCAGTGAATGCCTTGTATTCGTCGGCGCTCATCAGCTCCTCAAACTCCTTGACGCCCTGCTCGTCCAGCTGCACCTTGGCAATCCAGCCGCCACCTGCCGAGTCGTCCTCGGGCGTCTGGTTGATCGTGCCGGGCGTCTCCTCCAGGCTGGTGTTGACGTGCGTCACCTTGCACGCAATCGGCGCATTGATGTCGGCGGCCGACTTGACCGACTCGACGGCACCAATCGCATCGCCCTGGCCCACCTCCTTGCCCTCGGCCGGCAGCTCAACGTACACAACGTCGCCCAGCGCCTCGGCGGCGAACTCCGAGATGCCAATCACGCCCGTCGTGTTGTCGGCGTTCAGGTCGACCCACTCGTGGTCCTTGGTGTATCGCCGGACGTTGACTGGAAGCGGTCAGTACGAGTCCACGCAAACGGTATGCATCCTACGAATGGCTTCACGCCCCAAATCCTCCGCAAACTCACACTGTGCCGAAACAGAAAAGGCTCGCGCAGAAGGCATGGCCGGACGGAACTGAACGGCCGACCGGGCCACTGGGCGGACCGATGCCCGGGCCGCCACCGTCCAGCAGCGGGCAATCGAGGCAGCCATTGTGTTATGTGTGTTTCTCGGTGGTCGGAAAGGAGTCGGAAAGGAGAGCGGATGTGAATGTCGCAGCACAAAAGGAGACCGTTGACGAGGTGGCTGTAGAAAAGGTGGTCGTTAAGAAGCAGTTGGCGAGAGTGAGTTCAAAATGGGAGGGGCAGCAAGTCGGAACGACAATGGAAAGCGCCGCCGGCTCAAGGTGTGAAAAAACGCTGCTACTGGGCACTTTTTGTCAGATACGGCAGAGCTTGGTGGAGGTTTTTTCCTATCTGAGCAGTCTTTCTTGACTTGGGCTAGCTCCTTCCCTGTGAACGCATGGCTACCAATTGCTCGACTGACGAAAGCTCCGTTTCCATTGGCTGCAGGGCGGACGAATCCGGACCACTGGCCCAAACGGCAGGAGACAGCATCCCAGGAGGGAAAATGCCACTAAAACGAGAAAGCACCACGGTTTGCCGCGGCAGAGTCGCAGGCACCTTCCTGTTTGGCGCCAAATTGGTCTGCGTAGTCATTTCATGCCTGGGTTCACCAACTGGAACATAAGTTTACCGTGGCGGCCTGACAGCCAGACGACCTGACGGCTTGTCAACAATATCACAGTCATGCTGGCGGCCCGTCAGGAAATCACCCTCCGAGATACGCTGAACCAATAATTCAGACCCATATGCGCTAAGCTGCAAAAAGCATCAAGACTGCCAGCCCGCCTGTTCACTCGCACACGGCATGGGAAAGAACCGCTGGGACATTTAAAATTGGGACAATGCCATCCGCCTGGCCGCGGGGTATTGGTCCATAGCAAAGAAGACGCACAGCAGGGGAGGAGGCAGATAAGAGAGAGACGAAAGCCAGGCACTGGCTCCCACCTCTCCCATCTATCCGTCGTCCTCGCCCCGTACGACACATACGTGTATATTTCGGGCTTCGTCGTTCACTCATATTTGCTCATTGCCCTCCTAAACTTGGTCTTTTCTTCTTTTTCTGTCTCATGGCCTTTGTGCCCTCCGACGCCCATTCCAGGAATGGCGCGTCGCGTCGCGTGAGTTTCCACGCTGTTAGAGTGCACTGACATCCTGGCTTCCCATTCGTTCTTGGCCACTCGCTTGGCCGCCTCAGTGGCGCGTTCCTGCAGGCTCTTTGGCAAAAGCAAACGCTAAATCGTAGCAAGCAGTCCTTAGGGAGCCAAGGAGCCTGTTTTAGGCCTGTTTTATTATGGGCTGGTGTTTTCAGCTGGTCTCGTGTAAAGTGTAAAGCAAGTTGCTCGTGCTTTTGTCTCCCGGCATTAGCCTTTTTGCTCGCACGTCCCTCATTGGAAACGTGGTACTTAAGAAAGCAAACAACAACAACAACAACCGCAACGACAACATAAATAAAGATACGGTCGGGACGGCTCATCGACGTGCCCTCCAACGCCCGAGTAAACAAATAACACAAGTCGTCCGCCCCTTATTGGACGCGTGATCTGCTGTAAGCGCCATCACGACCAACCCATCGCTGGCCCACTAAAGCACAGTTCCCGTGGGACTTTCAAGTGCACGAGCACACCTAGAATAAGCATCAGTATTACGATGGAGGATATTTAGATAGTGCATCGCGCCTTTTGAGGCTGCAGCACCCCACCCCCTCTTTGCTGTCCGGACTTGTCTCTCGCCCCTGACCTGGCCTGGCCGGCTGTTCTTGGCCGCCCATGAAATAACAGAGCCAGCAAAAGATGCCCCCTCATCCAAGTCCGATCGTTCCTGGCCAACCAAAAGTCGTACATGGAGAAGGGGGAAGCACAACATAACTCCACGCATCTCACAAAATATTCAAAGTCTAGCATCAATGCTGCTGGTAAACCTGCATTAGGGCCAGGCCCAACTGTTCCCTCCCCATTTCCTCCTCCTTTTTCTCCTTTTGTAGTTTGTAGTTTCCCGTCTTGATCGTGTTTGGCGTTATTCTTTCAGCAGATCGTCCAGAAAGAAACAGTTGTGATACTTG